TGATTAAAATTAATCCAGGCCACAAAACATGGGACATCGCAGAGATACTCCACACATCTCCTATGAACAACGTAAGGCTTTTGAAAACATTTGGAAACGTGAATCATTACGACGTCTAGGCTAGTCACGATTTAACGGAAAAGAATTGAATAGATGCCATTGCCATCATTCTTTGCTAAACCTCAACAAAAAGGACATATTTTGGAAGTCGAGAGTCATAGGCGATGAAAAATGAATTGTATACAACAATGGGAATCTAAAAAAGTGTTCTGGAGAAAACTGTGTATTTAGCGTGATTGGGTGATCATTGTGCTTATGTAAAATCAGACGAATTCAGACAATTACTGTTCCAAACTAGAATGATTCACACGCATAAATCGTTGAAAAGCATTTGGAATTGGCTAATCGGAATGGCGTTGTCTGATATCAAGCCATCACTAAATCTGACGCCTCTTTGAATTCTGGCAGAAACTGGTAAATTTTTGCTGCGATGACCTGCTATTCTCACCGTATTCGCTCGACTGTCTTACCAATTAGATCGCAATACTTTTAATTATCGGTCTGTAATCGTAAAAAAACCCCACTTAGCCCGATTCAGTTACCAGAATGATTCCGAGAGATTGGAAACTCGATATTACCCTAAAGACGGCAAATGGTGGAAGAAAATGGTGTATATATCGTTAAATAAATCTATAGAAATCTGTAAAAATTCCATCTGAATTTCACTTAAAAATACGTCAAACGTTTCATAGGGCCTTATTATTATAAAAGGCGTGGACGTAGAATTCACACCACACAGTGGTGACTATCAATTTCTCACTCAGAGTCATCTGATGATCGCTTCAGACAAGAAATTGGAGGTCACCATACAGTGTTGACATCTACAATCGACTCTCTTTCACTTTTATCTTTGGTTTCAATTATTGTTTGAAGATCGCTTAAAGCGTGAAATTTGCAGTCACTATGAAGTATTAATTCAAGTGCTCTCTATGTTTAGATATTGATATATAGAAAGCGTACTGAAAAGATTTCGGATTTACTCCAATCCTAAGATAAGAACAAATGCTCAAATATCAGAATCCATTAAGTATATAGTGGATTCCGCCTCGTTGATAAGTAAGACACATTTAGTTTATTAATTAGCGCCTATAAATGTTACTAACAATTCATTGAAGTATCGTCTGATTGTCTCGGACCCAGAATGTCAATAACGATGATTTTTAAGTCTTGAGAAACTGTTACATATACGTTGTCAGAGTGAAAGGGCAAAATTATCTGCAGTATTTTTTATTGTTGTTAAGTGCAGCCTGGGCATTTCATAATTTAGATCATCTGAACCTTTGACAGAATTAACAGGACTGGTTTTACAAACAATTCATTATAATTCCAAATAACGAAAAACATTGGTTCCCTCCTTCAAAATATTTTACCTCGAACCTAATGCACATTTCCATCCTGCCAGGATATATATATATATATATATATATATATATATATATATGTGTGTGTGTGTGTGTGTGTGTGTGTGTGTGTGTATTTACGTAGCAAATTCTATTTGAGGCATGTCTGATTAAATAAATTAGCGACATTATGCCTGCTAATTTTTAACATAATCCGTTCATACTCACGAATAAACTTTCGTGTATTGCAATTAAATGGTGTGAGGAATGTACTATAACCATGAAAATCACTTCCCAAGTACTTTCGATCTTCTTCCGAGATCATCTTCAGGAGCGCAAGTAGTAATATAAAACCGTGTATTGTTCAGGGTTACAAACAGTAATACAAAACTGTGTGTTGTTATCCATTACTATATATTTTTTCTTTTTGCTTTTAAATGCAGCGTTCGACAGTCATGCTTAACCTTCATTAGATCGCGAAATATATATATATATATATATATATATATATATATATATATATATATATATATATATATATATAAGTGCATATGTGTGTATGTGTGTGTGTCTGTGTATAATATAAAGTGATAACAAATATTTTTTGTCTTAATTGACGTGTAAAAGTACATTCATTTTGGAGGAAAATTAAAGAAATTTAGGCTCCCACCGCAGTCTTTGTTGACTTTTTGAACAGGGTTAAATCTCAAATCCATCGTACACTAATTTCCTCGATATGAGAATAGCTAATCCTTTGGATATGATCCCTGAGGAATATTCTTATGGCTTTGTCCTTACACTTTTCTTTCTTAGGCGTTTGCTTCAGACACCAGTCAGATAAAGCCAACTATAATTGGTGAAGTTTGTGGCTGAAAATCCGTTTTTCATTTGGATTTATTTGTCCATTAAGAAAAGTAAGCAATACTAATAATTATGATGCTAACTCGAGAATATTCACGTAAGGGCGATATTATCTGTGACTTGGAAATGAAAGAAATGATGACGAAAATAATAATAAAGCATTCAAAGAGTAATATTATTATTGACAAAAAGAAGATTAAAATTTAATAAACAATTTTTCTAAATAATACCCCTGCGTCATATATGCTAATTTGAGGTCTACTGTAGCTTAATTATACACATAACATTCACTACCGTGGTCTATAGCTTTACAACAGACGGTAAAATTAATTTATGTGTATTAATATAGAGCAACATTATTATTATTATTATTATTATTATTATTATTATTATTATTTGTAAACGTCATTATTGCAACAAAGTACCGGCGACATTCGAAGGTACCAGCTGATCCATCACTTTTAAATATGGAATAACACACTCGTCTCATAATCTAGACAGAAACTACAGAAGACTCACATATAACTGAATGGAAATGTCGGTAATGCTAAAAGACAGATAAAATTTAGCATTAATATCGCAAAAATATATGCTCGTCATGCGAAACAGAAGAATAACTGGTCAATACGTTGGTTTCTTTTCTGACCAGGTGTATTTCTAACTTGCTTTTTATATACAGTAATGTTTTTCTCAAGTTCACGCCAAGAAAAGCAGTAAAGCCACTGAGACGAATGTGGTTACTGAGAGTGGAAGAATTAGAAACATAAATATTATTAATGAGCGGGAAGACGAAAGAATAATGAGGAGGGCAGTAGATAGCGATTGACATTGCGTTTAGAGGAGAATTCCACAAGCGAAAAGTGCGAGAGAAGAAACTGTTAGCAGAGAACTTACGGTTAGATCTATCCAATTCAACTCTAAATTGATTAGACCTCGCTGTTAATCTAGTGATGAGATTAAATTGGTAAAGTCAATGTACAAAAGGGGAAGGTTCATTGGAAAACATAGAAAAAGCAAAGGGAAGCTAGATTACGACTGTAGGAAAGTAACGGTAGCCGAGATGCCATACGAGGACCAATAACATTGCCTATTCTCTAAATATATTGCAGCAGCACTAGACTAAATGTGATAGCAATATTCAATGCATTGACCATTTTTTCCTGAATATGTCATGGCGAAATTTGATTACTGCGTCTGATATTTCTGTTTTTGTTTTTGTTTTTTTTTGTTGCTATTTTTTTGGCACGTACAATTACGTTCGATATGTTTAATGATTTTATTTGATTCTAATAGGTTGGTGGAAAAAAAGACTCAATACGAATCTATTGGTTCGTTTCCAGATTCCATTATTCCCCTACGCCAACTTTATAACTTGTCTTGGTCTTGTTTTAAGTGTGTCTGCTTTCTCGAGAAGACGATTTGCACTGTCGGGAATTGCAAGAGTGAAAACTCTATCGCAAAATATTTCATCCATTGACAGTTTATTTCCCCAGGGCATTTCTTGTAAGTTTGATCAAAAGCATTTCTGTGGCGACTTTACTCGTTCGACAAAGGTTGTTATTCAACGGGAAATATGCTAAAGAAATGCTCTCGGCAATGACATTTCATACAACCGATACTGGACCATTACGGCCTGTGTCTCTGTTACTTATGTGCTTCTTTAAGATGCATCTAAGAAATTGTCGGAAAAAGCTGAGATCATGTGATCGCTGAGTATCTCTGCTTACCTATTCGTCGGGTTTCTTTTTTTATGCCACTGATGGACGCTTAAAAACGAATACTGAAATAAAGATTCTTTCAACGGTAATTTTAATGGTAATATTAGACATTCCCTTACAAGGAAACGTTAATTGATCGAGCAACCAATACTAACTTCGGTGGAAATATATAAGATTTTTCTATTAAAATGATTTTTCAAGAAAAGGATTTTTTTTTAAACCAATATCCTGTTATCGAACTTTCCAGTACTGATTGATGTTTCCTTCCTAACCATTTTTAAGCAGTTTGGAGAATCAACAACTTATGTCATTGTTTTTCATTTTGAGTTGCATGTGCTATCAATTATAGTTGTTGCTACTGTTGGTAATCCTCACGTGATGTGGTTTCTGTTATTTATACAGTTATACAATACTTTGTTGGTGAATATGTAGCGCCAGTCCAGAATGTTCAAAAAAGAATGATTTTGCCAAGACTCACAGGCTTTATTCACTCAAGCGCTGATGTTAGATATCGGTTGATTGTGGTGATTATTATCAATATGAATGAAAATAGCAGTGAAAACGTAAGACGGATCCACCGGTACATATAAATGAGTCCAGAGTCTATGGATAGAAAAAGCACTTAGCTTACATAACAAATTATTTATTTTTCAACATAATTCTGTCCCTTGCTTTTTGCAAAGATTTCATCTCAATCAAGACAATTAAAACAACTAAGTTTGCAAGGTGTTACTGAGGCTGGAATAAAAAGGAGGACAATGAAAGATTAGGTTTCAAGGAGACAGAATACAGAAGATGACGACTGTAACAAAAGAACAGGATTCACGGCGACAGAAGATGACAATTGAAGGAGATGATTGAAAGAGACAGAAGATAACGTTTGAAGGAGACAGATCATTACAAATGAAGGAGACAGAAAATGACGATTGAAGGAGACAGAAGATGAAAAATGAAGAAGACAGATGAAGGAGACAGAAGATGAAAAATGAAGAAGATAGATGAAGGAGACAGAAGATGACGATTAAAGTATAAAGAAGATGACAAGTGAAAGGGACACATGATGACAAATGATGTTGACAGAAGATGACGATTGAAGTAGAATGATGACAAATGAAGGAGACAGAAGATGACGATTAACAGAGACAAATGATGATTGAAAGTGACAGAAGATGACATACGAAGGAGACAAAAGATTACGATTGAAGGATACACAAGATGGAAAATGAAAGAGACAGAAAATGAAGATAGATGGAGACAGAAGGGGACAATTGAAAGAAACAAAACATGACGATGAATCTGACACAATATAACGATTGAAGGAGACGAAAGAAGACACATGAAGGAAACGGAATATAACGATTGAAAGAGACAGATGATGATGATTGAAGCAGACAGAAGGAGACGATTGAAAGTGACAATGATGCTTGAAGGAGACAGGTGAAACGATTGAACAAGACAGGAGATGATGATTGAAGCAGACAGAAGGAGGCGATTGAAAGTGACAATGATGCTTGAAGGAGGAAACAGGGAGACAGGAGATGATGATTGGAAACGATTGAAGGAGACAGGAGATGATGATTGAAGGAGACAGAAGGAGGCGATTGAAAAAGTGACAAATGATGCTTGAAGGATTCAGGTGGAAACGATTGAAGGAGACAGGGATGATGATTGAAGCAGACAGAAGGAGGCGATTGAAAGTGACAAATGATGCTTGAAGGATGGAAACGATTGAAGGAGACAGGAGAGATGATTGAAGCAGACAGAAGGAGACGATTGAAAGGAGACAATGATGATGATGGAAAGGATTGAAGGAGACAGGACAGATGATTGAAGCAGACAGAAGGGCGATTGAAAGTGACAATGATGCTTGAAGGAGACAGGTGGAAACGATTGAAGGAGACAGGAGATGATGATTGAAGCAGACAGAAGGAGGCGATTGAAAGTGACAATGATGCTTGAAGGATACAGGTGGAAACGATTGAAGGAGACAGGAGATGATGATTGAAGCAGAAAAAAGGAGGCGATTGAAAGTGACAATGATGCTTGAAGGAGAAAGGTGGAAACGATTGGAGGAGACAGGAGATGATGATTGAAGCAGACAGAAGGAGGCGATTGAAAGTGACAGATAATGATGCTTGAAGGAGACAGGTGGAAACGATTGAAGGAGGGAGAGATGATTGAAGCAGACAGAAGGAGGCGATTGAAAGATGATGCTTGAAGACAGACAGGAAGGAGACGATTGAAAGTGACAGGGATAATGATGATGCTTGAAGGAGACAGGTGGAAACGATTGAAGGAGACAGGAGATGATGATTGAAGCAGACAGAAGGAGGCGATTGAAAGTGACAATGATGCTTGAAGGAGACAGGTGGAAAACGATTGAAGGAGACAGGAGATGATGATTGAAGCAGACAGAAGGAGGCGATTGAAAGTGACAATGATGCTTGAAGGAGACAGGTGGAAACGATTGAAGGAGACAGGAGAGATGATTGAGACAGAAGGAGGCGATTGACAGAAGGAGGCGAAACGATTGAAGGAGACAGATGATGATGATGCTTGAAGGAATTGGAGATGCAGGTGGAAACGATTGAAGGAGACAGGAGATGATGATTGAAGCAGACAGAAGGAGGCGATTGAAAGTGACAATGATGCTTGAAGGAGACAGGTGGAAACGATTGAAGGAGACAGGAGATGATGATTGAAGCAGAGAAGGAGGCGATTGAAAGTGACAGGATGATGCTTGAAGGATTGAAAGATTGAAGGAGACAGATGGATGATTGAAGCAGACAGAAGGAGGTGATTGAAAGTGACAATGATGCTTGAAGGAGACAGGAAAAATGATTGAAGGAGACAGATGATGATTGAAGCAGACAGAAGGAGGCGATTGAAAGTGACAATGATGCTTGAAGGAGACAGGTGGAAACGATTGAAGGAGACAGGAGATGATGATTGAAGCAGACAGAAGGAGGCGATTGAAAGTGACAATGATGCTTGAAGGAGACAGGTGGAAACGATTGAAGGAGACAGGAGATGATGATTGAAGCAGACAGAAGGAGGCGATTGAAAGTGACAGATAGTGATGCTTGAAGGAGACAGGTGGAAAAGATTGAAGGAGACAGATGATGATGATTGAAGCAGACAGAAGGAGGCGATTGAAAGTGACAATGATGCTTGAAGGATTCAGGTGGAAACGATTGAAGGAGACAGGAGATGATGATTGAAGCAGACAGAAGGAGGCGATTGAAAGTGACAATGATGCTTGAAGGAGACAGGTGGAAACGATTGAAGGAGACAGGAGATGATGATTGAAGCAGACAGAAGGAGGCGATTGAAAGTGACAATGATGCTTGAAGGAGACAGGTGGAAACGATTGAAGGAGACAGGAGATGATGATTGAAGCAGACAGAAGGAGGCGATTGAAAGTGACAGATAATGATGCTGATGAAGGAGACAGGTGGAAATGATGTTTGAAGGAGACAGAAAATGAAGGAGACAGGAGATGATGATTGAAGCAGACAGAAGGAGGCGATTGAAAGTGACAATGATGCTTGAAGGATTCAGGTGGATTGAAGGAGACAGATTGATTGAAGCAGACAGAAGGAGGCGATTGAAAGTGACAATGATGCTTGAAGGATTGTGGAAACGATTGAAGGAGACAGAGATGATGATTGAAGCAGACAGAAGGAGGCGATTGAAAGTGACAATGATGCTTGAAGGAGACAGGTGGAAACGGACAGGAGATGATGATTGAAGCAGGGAGGCGATTGAAAGGAAATGATGCTTGGAAGATTGAAGGAGACAGGAGATGATGATTGAAGCAGACAGAAGGAGGCGATTGAAAGTGACAATGATGCTTGGTGGAAGGAGACAGGTGGAAACGATTGAAGGAGACAGGAGAAGATGATTGAAGCAGACAGAAGGAGGCGATTGAAAGTGACAGATAATGATGCTTGAAGGAGACAGGTGGAAACGATTGAAGGAGAGAGGAGAAGATGATTGAAGCAGACAGAAGGAGGCGATTGAAAGTGACAAGGATGCTTGAAGGAGACAGGTGGAAACGATTGAAGGAGACAGGAGATGATGATTGAAGCAGACAGAAGGAGGCGATTGAAAGTGACAATGATGCTTTGAAGGAGACAGGTGCGATTGAAGGAGACAGGAGAAGATGATTGAAGCAGACAGAAGTTTGAAAGGACAGATAATGACGCTTGAAAGAGACAGGTGGAAACGATTGAAGGAGACAGGAGATGATGATTGAAGCAGACAGAAGGAGGCGATTGAAAGTGACAATAATGATGCTTGAAGGAGACAGGTGGAAACGATTGAAGGAGAGGAAGATGATTGAAGCAGACAGAAGGAGGCGATTGAAAGTGAAAATGATGCTTGAAGGAGACAGGTGGGAATGATTGAAGGAGACAGGAGAAGATGATTGAAGCAGACAGAAGGAGGCGATTGAAAGTGACAGATAATGATGCTTGAAGGAGACAGGTGGAAACGATTGAAGGAGACAGGAGATGATGATTGAAGCAGACAGAAGGAGGCGATTGAAAGTGACAATGATGCTTGAAGGAGACAGGTGGAAACGATTGAAGGAGACAGGAGATGATGATTGAAGCAGACAGAAGGAGGCGATTGAAAGTGACAATGATGCTTGAAGGATTCAGGTGGAAACGATTGAAGGAGACAGGAGATGATGATTGAAGCAGACAGAAGGAGGCGATTGAAATGCTTGAAGGAGACAGGTGAAGGAGACAATGATGCTTGAAGGATTCAGAAACGATTGAAGGAGACAGGAGAAGATGATTGAAGACAGAAGGATGGAAAGACAGATTTGAAGGAGACAGGAGATGATGATTGAAGCAGACAGAAGGAGGCGATTGAAAGTGACAATGATGCTTGAAGGAGACAGGTGGAAACGATTGAAGGAGACAGGAGAAGATGATTGAAGCAGACAGAAGGAGGCGTTTGAAAGTGACAATGATGCTTGAAATTTAGGGAGACAGGAAATGACAGGAGATGGAAACGATTGAAAGGAAATGATGAAGAGACAGGAGATTGAAGGAGACAGGAGAAGATGATTGAAGCAGACAGAAGGAGGCGATTGAAAGTGACAATGATGCTTGAAGGAGACAGGTGGAAACGATTGAAGGAGACAGGAGAGGATGATTGAAGCAGACAGAAGGAGGCGATTGAAAGTGACAGATACAGATGCTTGAAGGAGACAGGGAGGCGATTCAAATGATTGAAGGAGACAGAGATGATGATTGAAGCAGACAGAAGGAGGCGATTGAAAGTGACAATGATGCTTGAAGGAGGTGGAAACGATTGAAGGAGACAGGAGAGGATGATTGAAAGACAGATTTGAAAGGAGATGCTTGAAGGAGACAGGTGGAAAAGATTGAAGACAGGAGATGATGATTGAATCAGACAGACATTGAAGGACAATGATGCGAATTGGAAACGATGACAAGATGAGTGATGCTTGAAGGAGACAGGTGGAAACGATTGAAGGAGACAGGAGATGATGATTGAAGCAGGAACGAGGCGATTGAAAGTGATGCTTGAAGGAGACAGAAACGATTGAAGGAGACAGAGAAGATGATTGAAGCAGACAGAAGGAGGCGATTGAAAGTGACAATGATGCTTGAAGGAGACAGGAAACGATTGAAACGATTGAAGGAGACAGGAGATTGATGATTGAAGCAAGACAGAAGGAAGGAGACGGATTGATTGAAGCAGACAGACAATGATGCTTGAAGGAGACAGGTGGAAACGATTGAAGGAGACAGGAGATGATGATTGAAGCAGACAGAAGGAGGCGATTGAAAGTGAAAAAGATGCTTGAAGGAGACAGGTGGAAACGATTGAAGGAGACAGGAGAAGATGATTGAAGCAGACAGAAGGAGGCGATTGAAAGTGACAATGATGCTTGAAGGAGACAGGTGGAAACGATTGAAGGAGACAGGAGATGATGATTGAAGCAGACAGAAGGAGGCGATTGAAAGTGACAATGATGCTTGAAGGAGACAGGTGGAAACGATTGAAGGAGACAGGAGATGATGATTGAAGCAGACAGAAGGAGGCGATTGAAAGTGACAATGATGCTTGAAGGAGACAGGTGGAAACGATTGAAGGACAGGAGAGATGATTGAAGACAGGAGGGGAGGCGATTGAAAGATGATTGAAGGAGACAGACACGATTGAGGAGGACAGGATTGAATTGAAGTTGAAAGTGACAATGACGCTTGAAAGAGACAGGTGGAAACGATTGAAGGAGACAGGAGATGATGATTGAAGCAGACAGAAGGAGGCGATTGAAAGTGACAGATAATGATGCTTGAAGGAGACAGGTGGAAACGATTGAAGGAGACAGGAGAAGATGATTGAAGCAGACAGAAGGAGGCGATTGAAAGTGAAAATGATGCTTGAAGGAGACAGGTGGAAACGATTGAAGGAGACAGGAGAAGATGATTGAAGCAGACAGAAGGATTGAAAGTGACAGATAATGATGCTTGAAGGAGACAGGTGAAACGATTGAAGGAGAGGAGATGATGATTGAAGCAGACAGAAGGAGGCGATTGAAAGTGATAATGATGCTTAAAGGAGACAGGTGGAAACGATTGAAGGAGACAGGAGATGATGATTGAAGCAGACAGAGGCGATTGAAAGGACAATGATGCTTGAAAGGAGATTAGGGAGACAGGAAAATGATTGAAGCAGACAGAAGGAGGCGATTGAAGTGACAGGTGGAAACGATTGAAGGAGACAGCTTGATTGAAGGAGACAGAAGGAGGCGAAACAATGATGCTTGAAGGAGACAGGTGGAAAAAAATTGAAGGAAACGATGATGATGATGATTGAAGCAGACAGAAGGAGGCGATTTGAAAGTGACAATGATGCTTGAAGGAGACAGGTGGAAACGATTGAAGGAGACAGGAGATGATGATTGAAGCAGACAGAAGGAGGCGATTGAAAGTGACAATGATGCTTGAAGGAGACAGGTGGAAAAGATTGAAGGAGACAGAGATGATGATTGAAGCAGACAGAAGGAGGCGATTGAAAGTGACAATGATGCTTGAAGGAGACAGGGTGGAAACGATTGAAGGAGACAGGAGATGATGATTGAAGGAGGCAGACAGAAGGAGGCGATTGAAAGTGACAAGATGATGATTGAATGAAATGCTTGAAGGAGACAGGGAAACGATTGTAAAGGAGACAGAGAAGGATTGAAGCAGATTGAAGGAGACAATGATGCTTGAAGGATGGGTGGAAACGATTGAAGGAGACAGGACAAGAAGGATTGATTGAAGGAGGCGATTGAAAGACAATGATGTTGAAGGATTCAGGAAACGATTGAAGGAGACAGGAGATGATGATTGAAGCAGACAGAAGGAGGCGATTGAAAGTGACAATGATGCTTGGAAGGAGACAGGTAGAAACGATTGAAGGAGACAGGAGATGATGATTGAAGCAGACAGAAGGAGGCGATTGAAAGTGACAATGATGCTTGAAGGGAGACAGGTGGAAACGATTGAAGGAGACAGGAGATGATGATTGAAGCAGACAGAAGGGAGGCGATTGAAAGTGACAATGATGCTTGAAGGAGACAGGTGGAAACGATTGAAGGAGACAGGAGATGATGATTGAAGCAGACAGAAGGAGGCGATTGAAAGTGACAATGATGCTTGAAGGAAACAGGGAGACAGAAAGACGATTGAAGGAGACAGGAGGAGATTGAAAGGATTGAAGCTTGAAGACAGAAGGAGACAGGAGATTGAAAGCAGACAAAGAGGCGATTGAAGGAGACAGGTGGAACAGGTGAACGATTGAAGGAGACAGAGATGATGATTGAAGCAGACAGAAGGAGGCGATTGAAAGTGACAATGATGCTTGAAGGAGACAGGTGGAAACGATTGAAGGAGACAGGAGAAGATGATTGAAGCAGACCAGGAGGCGGATTGAAAGTGACAATGATGCTTGAAGGAGACAGGTGGAAACGATTGAAGGAGACAGGAGAAGATGATTGAAGCAGACAGAAGGAGGCGATTGAAAGTGACAATGATGGGAGACAGGTGGAAACGATTGAAGGAGATTGAAGACAGACAGGTGGAAACGATTGAAGGAGACAGAAGAGATTGAAGATGATTGAAGCAAGGAGAGATGATTGAAGCAGAGAAGGAGGCGATTGAAACGATTGAAGGATTCAGGTGAAACGATTGAAGGAGAGACAGGAAAAGATGATTGAAGATAGGCGATTGAAAGTGATAATGATGCTTGAAGGAGACAGGTGGAAACGATTGAAGGAGACAGGAGATGATGATTGAAGCAGACAGAAGGAGGCGATTGAAAGTGACAATGACGATGCAGGAGGTTGAAGGAGACAGGTAGAAATGATTGAAGGAGACAGGGAAAGATGATTGAAGGAGATGAAGGAGGAAGGAGGCGATTGAAAGTGAAAATGATGCTTGAAGGAGACAGGTGGAAACGATTGAAGGAGACAGGAGAAGATGATTGAAGCAGACAGAAGGAGGCGATTGAAAGTGACAATGATGCTTGAAGGAGACAGGTGGAAACGATTGAAGGAGACAGGAGAGAAGGAGGAGATTGAAAGTGACAGAAGATGCTTAAAGGAGACAGGTGAAACGATTGAAAGAGCAGGAGATGATGATTGAAGCAAGACAGAAGGAGGATTGAAAAGTGACAATGATGCTTGAAGGAGACAGGTGGAAACGATTGAAGGAGACAGGAGATGATGATTGAAGCAGACAGAAGGAGGCGATTGAAAGGACAATGATGCTTGAAGGAGACAGGTGGAAACGATTGAAGGAGACAGGAGAAGATGATTGAAGCAGATGAAGGAGGCGACGAAAGTGACAATGATGCTTGAAGGAGACAGGTGGAAACGATTGAAGGAGACAGGAGATGATGATTAAGCAGACAGAAGGAGGCGATTGAAAGTGACAATGATGCTTGAAGGAGACAGGTGGAAACGATTGAAGGAGACAGGAGATGATGATTGAAGCAGACAGAAGGAGGCGATTGAAATGCTTGACAATGATGCTCGAAGGAGAATGAGGCAGGTGCTTAAGAAACGATTGAAGGAGACAGGAAGACAGAAGGAGGCGATTGAAACAATGATGCAGAAGGAAACGATTGAACGAGACAGATGATGATTGAAGCAGACAGAAGGGGAGGATTGAAAGACAATGATGCTTGAAGGAGACAGGTGGAAACGATTGAAGAACGAGACAGGAGAAGATGATTGAAGCAGACAGAAGAAGGCGATTGAAAGTGACAAGGATGCTTGAAGGAGACAGGTGGAAACGATTGAAGGAGACAGGAGAAGATGATTGAAGCAGACAGAAGTGACAATGGATGAAGGAGACAGATGGAAACGGAAGGAGACAGGAGATGATGATTGAAGCAGACAGAAGATGGCGATTAAAGGACAAGGATGCTTGAAGAGACAGAAACGATTGAAGGAGACAGGAGATGATGATTGAAGCAGACAGAAGGAGGCGATTGAAAGTGACAGATAATGATGCTTGAAGGAGACAGGTGGAACGATTGAAGGAGACAGAGAAGATGATTGAAGCAGACAGAAGGAGGCGATTGAAAGTGACAATGATGCTTGATGGAGACAGGGTGGAAACGATTGAAGGAGACAGGAGAAGATGATTGCTTGAAGGATTCAGAATCGATTGAAGGAGGCGATTGAAGCAGACAGATAATGATGCTTGAAGGAGACAGGGAAACGATGAAGGAAATGATTGAAGCAGACAGAGATTGAAAGTGACAGATAATGATGCTTGAAGGAGGATGGTGGGAAATGATTGAAGACAGGAGATGATGATTTTGAAGCAGACAGAAGGAGGCGATTGAAAGATGCTTGAAGGAGACAGGTGGAAACGATTGAACGAGACAGGAGATGATGATTGAAGGAGAAGGAGGAAGGCGAGGTGGAAATGGTGCTTGATTGAAGGATGATGACAAGCAGACAGAAGAAGGCGATTGAAAGTGACAATGATGCTTGAAGGAGATAGGTGGAAACGGAAGGAGACAGATTGATTGAAGCAGACAAAGGAGCTGATTGAAAGGACAATGATGTTTGAAGGATTCAGGTGGAAACGATTGAAGGAGACAGGAGATGATGATTGAAGCAGACAGAAGGAGGCGATTGAAAGGACAATGATGCTTGAAGGAGACAGGTGGAAATGATTGAAGGAGACAGGAGATGATGAAAGCAGTTGAAAGTGACAATGGATGCTCGAAGGAGAGCAGGTGGAAATGATTGAACGAGACAGGAGATGATGATTGGCAGACAGAAGGAAGGATTGAAAGTGACAATGATGCTTGAGACAGGGGAAAGGATTGAAGGAGACAGGAGATGATGAAACGATTGATTGAAAGGACAGATAATGATGCAGGAGACAGATGATTGAAGGACAGACAGAAGGGGAGACAGAAGATTGAAATTGACAATGATGCTTGAAGGAGACAGGTGGAAACGATTGAAGGAGACAGGAGAGAAAGCAGACAGAAGTAAAGATGATTGATGGAGACAGACAGAAGGAGGCGATGCTTGAAGGATTCAGGTGGAAACGATTGAAGGAGACAGGAGATGATGATTGAAAGCAGACAGAAGGAGGGGGATTGAAAGTGACAATAATGATGCTTGAAGGAGACAGGTGGAAATGATTGAAGGAGAGACAGATGATCAGATTGAAGGAGATGCGAGAAAGATAATGCGAAGGAGACAGGTTGAAAGGATGATGATTGAAGCCAGACAGAAGAGGCGATAATGATGCTTGAAGGAGACAGGGGAAACGATTGAAGGAGACAGGAGATGATGATTGAAGCAGACAGAAGGAGGCGATTGAAAGTGACAATGATGCTTGAAGGAGACAGGTGGAAACGATTGAAGGAGACAGGAGATGATGATTGAAGCAGACAGAAGGAGGCGAAAGTGAAAGGATGCTTGAAAGGAGACAGGTGGAAATGATTGAAATGATTGAAGGAGACAGGAGGAGGCGATTGAAAGACTTGAAGGAGGCGATTGAAAGATTGACAGATGAGAAGATGATTGAAGCAGGCAGGATTGAAAACAAGGGAGACAGGTGGAAATGATTGAAGGAGACAGGGAGAGGACATTGAAAGTGACAATGATGCTTGAAGGAGACAGGTAGAAACGATTGAAGGAAAAATTGACAGGAGATGATGATTGAAGCAGACAGAAGGAGGCGATTGAAAGACAAATGATGCTTCAGGAGACAGGTGAAACGATTAAAGTAGACAGAGATGATGATTGAAGCAGACAGAAGGAGGCGATTAGAAAGTGACAGATAATGATGCTTGAAGGAGATGGTGGGAAAAGATTGAAGGAGAGCACGTGATGATGATTGAAGCAGACAGGAGGAATTGAAAGTGAAAAAATGATGCTTGAAGGATTGGGGAAAAGATTGAAGGAGATAGAGATGATGATTCAAGAAAGGAGGCGATTGAAAGTGACAATGATGCTTGAAGGAGACAGGTGGAAACGTTTGAGAGACTGGAGATGATGATTGAAGCAGACAGAAGGAGGCGATTGAAAGGTGACAAATGATGCTTGAAGTGACAGGTGGAAATGATTGAAGGAGACAGATGATTGAAGCAGACAGAAGGAGGCGAATGAAAGAAGTGACAGATAATGATGCTTGAAGGAGACAGGTGGAAAGATTGAAGGAGACAGGATGATGATGATTGAAGCAGACAGAAAGGAGGCGATTGAAAGTGACAATGATGCTTGGAGGAGACAGGTGGAAATTGAAGGAGACAGGAGAAGATGATTGAAGACAGAAGTCGGCGATTGAAAAGGACAGACAATGATGCTGAAGGAGACAGGTGGAAAACGATTGAAGGAGACAGGTGATGATGATTGGAAGCAGACAGAAGGAGGCGATTGAAAGTGACAATGATGCTTGAAGGATTCAGGGGTGGAAACGATTGAAGGAGACAGGAGATGATGATTGAAGCAGACAGAAGGAGGCGATTGAAAGTGACAATGATGCTTGAAGGAGACAGGTGGAAAACGATTGAAGGAGACAGGAGATGATGATTGAAGCAGACAGAAGGAGGCGATTGAAAGACAGACAATGATGCTTGAAGGAGACAGGTGAAATGATTTAAGGAGAGAGGAGAAGATGATGAAGCAGACAGAAGGAGGCGATTGGACAGATAATGATGTTTGAAGGAGACAGGAAAAGATTGAAGGAGAGAGATGATGATTGAAGCAGACAGAAGGAGACGATTGAAAGTGACAATGATGCTTGAAGGAGACAGGTAGAAACGATTGAAGGAGACAGGAGAAGATGATGATTGAAGCAGACAATGACGGAGGCGATTGAAAGTGACAGAGATGATGCTTGGAGAAGGAGACAGGACAGATGGAAAAAATGATTGAAGGAGACAGGAGAAGATGATTGAAGCAGACAGAAGGAGGCGATTGAAAGTGACAGATGAATGATGCTTGAAGGAGACAGGTGGAAAAACGATTGAAGGAGACAGGAGAAGATGATTTCGAAGCAGACAGAAGGAGGCGATTGAAAGGACAATAATGATGCTTGAAGGATTCAGGTGGAAAACGATTGAATGACATGGAAAAGTAGACAGAAGGAGGCGATTGAAAGGAGACTTGAAGGAGATGATGAAGGAGACAGGAGATTTGAAGCAGACAGAAGGAGGAGATTGAAATTGACAATGATGCTTGAAGGAGACAGGGTGGAAACGATTAAGGAGACAGGAAGATGATTGAAGCAGACAGAAGGAGGCGTTTTAAAGCGACAGATAATGATGCTTGAAGGAGACAGGAAAAGATTGAAGGAGACAGAGACAGATTGTTGGAAATGATTGAAGGAGACAGGAGATGATGATTGAAGCAGACAGAAGGAGGCGGATTGAAAGTGACAATGATGCTCAAGGAGACAGGGGAAACGATTGAAGGAGACAGGAGATGATGAAATGATTGAAGGACAGATAATGATGCTTGAGGAGACAGGTGGGAAAAGATTGAAGGAGATTGATGAGCAAGCATGCAGAAGGAGGCAATTGAAAGCGACAATGATAAACGAGTGAACGAGACAGAAGGAGACAGGTGGAAAGTGACAATGATTTAAGGAGACAGGAGAGATGATGATTGAAGCAGACAGAAGGAGGCGATTGAAAGTGACAGATACGATGCTTGAAGTTGACAGGTGGAAATGATTGAAGGAGATAGGAGAGGATGATTGAAGGACAGAAGGAGGCGAATGAAAGTGACAAAATGATGCTTGAAGGAGACAGGGTGGAAAAGATTGAAGGAGACAGAAGATGATGATTGAAGCGATTGAAAGTGACAATGATGCTTGAAGGATTCAGGTGGAAACGATTGAAGGAGACAGGAAATGATGATTTGAAGCAGACAGAAGGAGGCGATTGAAAGTGACAATGATGCTTGAAAGAGACAGAAAACGACAGAAGGAGACAGGAGAAGATGAAGCGAACAGAAGGAGGCGATTGAAAGTGACAATAATGATGCTTGAAGGCTGAGACAGGTGGAAAAAGATTGAAGGAGACAGACAAGATGATTAGATGAAAGTGACAGATAATGATGCTTGAAGGAGAGCAGGTGGAAATGATTGAAGGAGGAGAAGATGATTGGGCTAAGAAAGGCGACAATGATGCTTGAAGGAGAGACAGGTGGAAACATTGAACGAGACAGGAGATGATGATTCAAGACAGACAGAAGTGACAATGATGCAGGTGGAAATGATTGAAAGAGACAGGAGAAGATGATTAAAGAGACAGAAGGAAACGTTTGGAAGCGACGGAGATGATGATTGAGACAGGTAAATGACAGAAGGAGGCGATTGAAAGGACAAGGACAGGGTGGAAACGATTGAAGGGAGACAGGAGAAGATGATTGGAAGCAGACAGAAGGAGGCGATTAATGAAAATGATGTAGAGGAGACAGGTGGAAACGATTGAAGGAACAGGAGAAGATGATTGACAGACAGAAGGAGGCGATTGAAAGTGACAGATAATGATGCTTGAAGAGACAGGTGGAAACGATTGAAGGGGAGCAGGAGATGATGATTGGAAGCAGACAGAAGGAGGAGATTAGAGAAGTGACAGATAATGATGCTTAAAAGGAACAGGTGCAAACGGTGGAAGGAACAGGAGATGATGATTGAAGCAGACAGAAGGAGAGCGATTGAAAGTGACAATGATGCTTGAAAGATTCAGGTGGAAACGATTGAAGAGACAGGAGATGATTGAAGCAGACAGAAGGAGGCGATTGAAGTGACAATGATGCTTGAAGGAGACAGGTGGAAACGATTGAAGGAGACGGAGGAAGATGATTGAAGCAGACAGAAGGAGGCGATTGAAAGGACAATGATGCTTGAAGGAGACAGGTGGAAATGATTGAACGAGACAGGAGATGATGATTAAAAGACAGAAGGAGGCGATTGAAAGGACAATGATGCTTCAAAAGGAGACAGGTGGAAATGATTGAACGAGACAGGAGATGATGATTGAAGAAGGAGAATCGATTGATAGTGACAATGATGCTTCAAGAGATAGGTGGAAACGATTGAACGAGACAGGAGATGATGATTGAAGCGAGACAGAAGGATATGATTGAAAGTGACAGATAATGATGCTTGAAGGAGACAGGTGGGAAATGATTGAAGGAGACAGGATGATGATTAGATGATTGAAAGCAGATGCTTGAAGGAGGCGATTGGGAATGATTTGACAGGAGATGATGATTGGGGAAGGAGAAGGAGGGATTGAAAGGACAATGATTGAAGGAGACAGGGAAATGAGGAGACAGGAGATGATGATTGAAGCAGACAGAAGGAAGCGATTGAAAGTGACAATGATGAGCAGGTGGAAACATTGAACGAGACAGGAGATGATGATTGAAGCAGACAGAAGGAGGATTGAAAGTGACAATGATGCTTAGAGTTCAGGGTGGAATGATTGAATGGACAGGAGAGAAGATGATTGAAGCAGACAGAAGGAGGCGATTGAAGCTTGACAATGATGCTTGAAGGAGACAGATGATGATGATTGAAAGACAGGGAGACAGGAAATGATGATTGAAGGAGACAGAAGGCGACAGGCAGACAGAAGGGGAGGCGATTGAAAAAGATGAAGGAGACAGGGATGATTGAAGGAGACAGGAGAGGATGATTGAAGGAGACAGGAGAGGCGATTGAAAGTGAAGATAATGATGCTTGAAGGAGACAGATGGAAACGATTGAAGGAGACAGGAGAAGATGATTGAAGGAGAAGAGGTGTGACAATGATGCTTGAAGGAGACAGGTGGGAAACGATGAAGGAGAAGGAGACAGAAGGAGGACAGAAGGAGGCGATTAAGAAAGTGACAATGATGCTTGAAGGAGACAGGTGGAAACGATTGAAGGAGACAGGAGATGATGATTGAAGCAGACAGAAGGAGGCGATTGAAAGTGACAATGATGCTTGAAGGAGACAGGTGGAAACGATTGAAGGAGACAGGAGAAGATGATTGAAGCAGACAGAAGGAGGGATTGAAAGTGAAAGATAATGAGAGCAGGTGGAATGATTGAAGGAGACAGGAGAAGATGAAACAGATTGGAAGGATTGAAAATGAGAAGATGATGCTTGAGAGCAGGTGGAAATGATTGAAGGAGAAGATGATGATTGAAGCTAAGACAGAAGGAGGAGATTGAAAGTGATTGAAGGAGACAGGAGAGGTTGAAACGATTGAAGGAGACAGGAGATGATGATTGGAAGACAGAAGGAGGGAGGCGATTGAAAGACAATGATGCTTGAAAGATTGTGGAAATGATTGAAGGAGAGCAGGAAACGATTGAAGGAGAAGGAGGATTGAAAGTGATGATTGAAGGAGAAAGGTGAAATGATTAAGAGAGCAGATTGATGATTGAAGGCAGATAAAAGGAGGCGTTTGAAAGATGACAATGATTTTGAAGGAGACAGGAGATGACATTGGGAAGATAGACAGATGATGATCAGCTTAAGAAGTGACAGAAACGACAAGGATGCTTGAAGGAGACAGGTGGAAATGATTGAAGGAGCAGAGATGATGATTGAAGCAGACAGAAGGGGCGATTGAAAGTGACGAATGAGATGCAGGTTGAAGGAGACAGGAGATGGAAACGATTGAAGGAAAAGACAGGAAGAATGATTGAAGCAGGAGCAGATGAAGGAGGGAGATTGAAAACTGACAATGATGCTTGAAGGAGACAGGTGGAAACGATTGAAGGAGACAGATGATGATGGAAAGCAATGACAGAAGGAGGAAAAGATTGAGACAGAAACGATGACAATGAAAGTGCTTGCTTGAAGGAGACAGGTAGAAACGATTAAAGGAGACAGGAGAAGATGATTGAAGCAGACAGAAGGAGGCGATTGAAAGTGACAATGATGCTTGAAGGAGACAGGTGGGAAACGATTGAAGGAGACAGGAGAAGATGATTAAAACCTGTTTACAGAAGGAGGCGATTGAAAGTGACAATAATGATGCTTGAATAGAAATGATTGCTGAGAGTGGAGAAACAGATTAGAAGACAAGACAAGGAGACAGGTGATGATTGAAGGAGACAGAAGCGAGGCGATTGAAAGAATGACAATGATGATTGAAGGAGACAGGTGGAAACGATTGAAGGAGACAGGAGATGATGATTGAAGCAGACAGAAGGAGGCGATTGAAAGTGACAATGATGCTTGAAAGAGACAGGTGGAAACGATTGAAGGAGACAGGAGATGATGATTGAAGCAGATGATTGAAAGTGACAATAATGAAAGGAGACAGGTGAAACGATTGAAGGAGACAGGAGATGATGATTGAAAGCAGACAGAAGGAGGCGATTGAAAGTGAAATGATGCTTGAAGGAGACAGATTGAAGGAGACAGGATGATTGAAGAGACAGATTGATTGAAGCTAAGACAGATTGAAGGAGGAAACGATTGAAAGTGACAGATAATGATGCTTGGGTTGAGACAGGTGGAAACGATTGAAGGAGACAGGAGATGATGATTGAAACAGACAGAAGGAGGCGATTGAAAGTGACAGATAATGTGATGATTAAAGGAGACAGGATGGAAGGAGGGCGATTGAAAGGACAATGATGGAGATGAATGATTGAAGGAGACAGAAGGATGATTGGAAAGCAGAAAAGTGACAATGATGCTTGAAGGAGACAGTAAAACGATTGAAGGAGACAGGAGATGATGATTGAAGCTTAAGGAGACAGAAGATGAGGCGATTGAAAAGAATGAAAGTGACAGATAATGATGCTTGAAGGAGACAGGTGGGAAACGATTGAAGGAGACAGGAGAAGATGATTGAAGCAGAGGAAGGAAAGGACGAAAGAAAAGACAATTGAAGGAGACAGGTGGGAAACGACGAAGAGACAGAGATGATGATTGAAGACAGAAGGATAAAGGATTGAAAGTGACAATGACAGAAGGAGACAAAGAAATGATTGAAGGAAGCAGGAAACGATTGAAGGAGACAGGAGAAGATGATTGAAAGCATAGAAGTAGGAATTGAAAGCGACAATGAATGCTTGAAGAGAGAGATGGAAACGATTGAAGGAGACAGGAGATGACATTGGGAAGAAGACAGGGAGGATTGAAAGTGACAGATATGCTTGAAGGAGATAGGTGGAAATGATTGAACGAGACAGAAGATGATTGAAGCAGACAGAAAGGAAGATTGAAAGTGACAATGGTGCTTGAAGGAGACAGGTGGAAACGATTGGAAGGAGACAGGAAGAGATTGACAAGACAGAAGGAGGCGATTGAAAGTGACAATGATGCTTGAAGGAGACAGGTGGAAACGATTGAAAGAGACAGGAGATGATGATTGAAGCAGACAGAAGGAGGCGATTGAAAGTGACAATGATGCTTGAAGGAGACAGGTGGAAACGATTGAAGGAGACAGGAGAAGATAGATTGAATGACAGAAGGAAATGAAAATGATGATTGAAGGAGACAGGTGGGGAAACGATTGAAGGAGACAGGAGATGATGATTGAAGTGACAGAAGGGAGGCGATTGAAAGTGAAAATGATGCTTGAAGGAGACAGGGAAACGATTGAAGGAGACAGAGATGATGATTGGAACAGAGAAGGAGGATTGAAAGTGACAATGATGCTTGAAGGATTCAGGTGGAAACGATTGAAGACAGAGATGGATTGGAGACGATTGAAATGATGAGAATTGAAGGAGACAGGATGATTGAAGCAGACAGAAGGAGGCGATTAAAAAATGATGCTTGAAGGAGACAGGTGGAAACGATTGAAGGAGACAGGAGATGATGATTGAAGCAGACAGAAGGAGGATGCTTGATTGAAAGATGATGATGATTGAATTAGAGAAACAATGATGCTTGAAGGAGACAGGGAAACGGGACGAGACAGGATGATGATTCTCAAAGAGACAGATTGATGATGTCAATGATGCTTGAAGCAGACAGAAGGAAACGATTGAACGATGAGATGAGATTGATGCTTGAAGGAGAAAGTGGAAATGATTGAAGGAGACAGAAGATGATTGAAGACAGGGAGATGATGAGGCAGGCGATTGAAAGTGACAATGATGCTTGAAGGTGAATGATTAGAGACAGGAAATGATTGAAGCAGACAGGAGATGACAATGATGCTTGAAGGGACTAGACAGAAGGAAGGATTGAAGGACGAGGAAAAGCGAGACAGTGGAAACGATTGAAGGACAGGTGATGATGGAGACGATAGAAGGGAAATGATTGAAGGAGACAGGGTGGAAACGATTGAAGGAGACAGGAGATGATGATTGAAACAGAGAAGGAGGCGATTGAAAGTGACAATGATGATTGAAGGAGACAGGTGAAAAGATCGAAGGAGACATGAGAAGATGATTGAAGCAGACAGAAGGAGGCGATTGAAAGTGACAGATGATGATGCTTGAAGGATTCAGGGAAACGATTGAACAGGGATGAAGCAGGAGATGATGATTGAAGCAGAGATTAGGTGGGAACGATTGAAGGAGATGGATTGAAAGACAGAAGGGGTGACAGATAATGATGCTTGAAGGAGACAGGTGGAAACGATTGAAGGAGACAGAGATGATGATTGAAGCAGAGGATTAAGGAGGAAATGATTGAAAGAGACAATGATGCTTGAAGGAGACAGGTGGAAATGAAATTGAAGGAGACAGGAGATGATGATTGAAGCAGACAGAAGGAGGCGATTGAAAGTGACAGATAGTGATGCTTAAGGAGACAGGTGGAAAAGATTGAAGGAGACAGATGATGATGATTGGGCTAAGATGAAGAAGGATGCTTGGAAGAAAGTGACAAATGATGATTAGAAGGAGACAGAAGGAAAAAGATTGAAGGAGACAGGATGCCGAGCAGACAGAAGGATTGAATTGACAATGATGCTTGAAGGAGACAGGGTGAAACGGAAGGATTGAAAGGACAAATGATGCTTTGAAGGAGAGACAGGTGGAAACAGATGATTGAAGGAGAAAGAGATGATGATTGAAGCAGACAGAAGGAGGCGATTGAAAGGACAATGATGCTTGAAGGAGACAGGTGGAAAACGATTGAAGGAGACAGGAGATGAGATTGAAGGACAAGGAGGCGTTTGAAGATAATGATTGAAGGAGACAGGTGGAAAGATTGAAAGAGATGATGATTGCTTGAAAGCGACAATGATGCTTAGATTGGAGTGAGACAATGATGATTGGAGACAGAAGGAGACAATGATGCTTGCAGGGAAACGTTTGAGGAGATGATGATTGAAGCAGACAGAAGGAGCAAGATTGAAAGTGACAATGATGCTTGAAGGAGACAGGTGAAAAATGATTGAAGGAGATGAGAGAAGATGATTGAAGGAGACAGAAAGGAGACAGATTGAAAGTGACAGATAATGATGCGATTGAAAGTGACAAGGGAGACAGGGTGGGAAACGATTGAAGGAGACAGGAGAATATGATTGAAGCAGACAGAAGGATTGAGGACAGAAATGATGCTTAATGAGATGCTTGAAGGAGACAGGTGGAAATGATTAAGGAGACAGAGATGATGATTGAAGCAGACAGAAGGAGAAGAAAGGATTGAAAGTGACAATGATGCTTGAAGGAGACAGGTGGAAATGATTGAAGGAGACAGGAGATGATGATTGAAGCAGAGAGAAGGAGGCGATTGAAAGATGACAAATGATGCTTGAAGGAGACAGGGAAACACTTGAAGGAGACAGATGATGATGATTGAAGCACAGAAGGAGACGATTGAAAGTGACAAAGATGCTTGAAGGAGACAGGTGGAAACGATTGAAGGAGACAGGAGAAGATGATTGAAGACAGAAGAAGGCGATTAAAGTGACAGATAATGATGCTTGAAGGAGACAGGGGAAAAGGGATAGATGATGATAATGGAGACAGAGATGATGATGCTTGAAGGATTCAGTGGAAAGAAGGAGGCGGAGATGATGAAAGCAGACAGAAGAATGATTGAAAGTGACAAAGACAGGGACAGGTGGAAACGATTGAAGGAGACAGGAGAAGATGATTGAAGCAGACAGAAGGAGGCGTTTGAAAGTGAAATGATGCTTTGAAGGAGACAGGAAATGATTGAAGGAGACAGAGATGATGATTGATGCAGACAGGAAGGAGGTGATTGAAAGTGACAATGATGCTTGAAGGAGACAGGTGGAAACGATTGAAGGAGAAGAGATGATGAGAAGACAGAAGGGAATAGAAAAGAGAAGGAGGATATTGAAAGAAGACAATGGATGCTTGAAGGAGACAGGGTGGAATGATTGAAGGAGACAGGAGATGAGATGAATGGAAGGAGACAGAAGGAGGAGACAGGAGATTTGAAAGAAGCTGAAGTGACAATAATGATGCTTGAAGGAGACAGGGGGAACGATTGAAGGAGACAAGATGACATTGGGGCAGACAGAAGGAGGGGCATTGAAAGTGACAGAATGATGCTTGAAGGAGACAGGACATGATTCAAATGAAGGATGAAAGGAGACAGAGAGGAAGGAGAGGTGGGAAACGTTTGAAGACAGAGACATTATCAGATGAGGCGATTGAAAGTGACAGATAATGATTGAAAATGATTGAAGGAGACAATGGATGATTGGAAGGAGACGAATGGGAAATGATTGAAGGAGACAGGTAAGATTGAGACAGAGAAGATGATTGAAGCAGACAGAAGGAGGCGATTGAAAGTGACAATGATGCTTGGAGGAGACAGGTGGGAAACGATTGAAGGAGACAGGAGAAGATGATTGAAGCAGAAGTCGGCAGAAGGAGGCGATGCTTAAGGAGACAGGAAACGATAACAGAAGGAGGCGATTGAAATGATGCTTGGAGAAACGATTGAATGACAGGTAGAAATGAGACAGAAGAAGGAGACAGGAAATGATGATTGAAGGAGACAGAAGCAGACAGAAAGATTGAAAGGACAATTATGCTTTGAAGGAGACAGGTGGAAATGATTGAAGGAGACAGGAGAGGATGATTGAAGCAGACAGAAGGAGGCGATTGAAAGTGATAATGATGCTTGGAAGGAGACAGGTGGAAAAAGACGAGACAGGAGATGAGGAAGCAGACAGAAGGAAATCGATTGATAGTGACAATGATGCTTGCTGATTCAGGTGGGAATGATTGAAGGAGACAGGAGATGATGATTGAAGACAGAAGGAGGCGAGTGACAGATAATGATGCTTGAAGGAGACAGGGGAAACGATTGAAGGAGACAGGAGATGATGATTGAAGGCGACAGAAGGAGGCGATTGAAAGTGACAAATGATGGAAGGAGACAGGGGAAACGATTGAAGGAGACAGGATGGAAAGCAGATTGAAGGAGACAGGAAGGAGACAGGGATTGAAGCAAGACAGAAGGAGGCGACAGATTGAAAGTGACAATGATGCTTGAAGGAGACAGGTGGAAACGATTGAAGGAGACAGAGATGATGATTGAAGAGAAGGGGCGAAGGAGTGACGATTGAAAGGAGACAATGAAACGATTGAAGGAGACAGGTGATGAAATGATTGAAGGAGTGATTGAAAGGAGAAGATGATTGAAGGAGACAGAAAAGATGAGGAGACGATTGAAAGACAGATAATGATGCTTGAAGGGAGACAGGTGGAGAAGATGATGATTGAAGCAGAAGACAGGACAATGATGATTGAAGAGACAGGTGGGAAGGAACGAGACAGAGATGATGATTGAAGCAGGATGCTGAGTGAACAAGATGATGCTTGAAGTGACAGAAGGAGGATTGGTGCTTGAAGGAGACAGGTGGGAAACGATTGAACGAGACAGAGATGATGATTGAAGCAGACAGAAGGAGGCGATTGACAGATAATGACGCTTGAAGGAGACAGGTGGAAATGATTAACGAGACAGGAGAATATGATTGAAGCAGACAGAAGGAGGCGATTGAAAGTGACAATGATGCTGAAGGAGACAGGGGAAAGATTGAAGGAGACAGGAGATGATGATTGAAGCAGAGAAGGAGGCGATTGAAAGTGACAATGATGCTTGATTGGAACGATTGAAGGAGACAGGGAGAAGATGATTGGCTAAGAAGAAATTGAGGCGATTGAAAGTGGAAACGATGAAGAACAGGAGACAGGAAACAGATTGAAAGGATTGATCGATTGATTCAGCAGAATGAGAAGGATGATACGATTGAAAGTGACAATGATGCTTGAAGGAGACAGGTGGAAACGATTGAAGAGACAGGAGAAGATGATTGAAGCAGATTGAAAGCAGAAGGAGGCGATTGAAAGATGATGACAGATAAAGGATGAAGCACAACATGCTTGAAGGAGACAGGGGAAAACGATTGAAGGAGACAGGAGATGATGATTGAAGCAGACAGAAGGGGGAGATTGAAAGAGACAGATGATGATGCTTGAAGGAGAGCAGGTGGAAACGATTGAAAATGATTGAAGGAGACAGAAGGAGGAAGATGATAGAACAGGTGGAAAGGAGGAGATTGATTGAAGTGAAAAATTGAAAGTGCTTGAAGGAGACAGGTGGAAATGATTGAATATAGATAGAAGATGATTGAAGCAGACAGAAGGAGGCGATTGAAAGTGACAATAAGATAATGATTGAAGAAGACTTGATGGGGAAGGAGACAGGGGAATAATGATTGAAGGAGACAGGTGAAACGATTGAAGATGATTAAAGACAGAAGATGGCGATTGAAAGGACAATGATGCTTGAAGGGAGGAGATTGAAAAGTGACAGATAATGATGCTTGAAGGAGACAGGTGGAAATGATTGAAGGAGACAGGAGAAGATGATTGAAGCTAAGACAAAGGAGGGATTGAAAGTGACAGACAATGATGCTTGAAGGATTCAGGGGGAAACGATTGAAGGAGACAGAAAGAGATTGAAGCAGACAGAAGGAGGCGATTGAAAGTGACAATGATGCTTGAAGGAGACAGGTAGAAAGGATTGAAAGGAGACAGGAGAAGATGATTGAAGGCTAAGACAGAAGGATAAGTGATTGAAAGACAATGATAAGAAGGAGACAGGTGAAATGATTGAAGGAGACATTGGAGAGATGATTAAAGGAGACAGAAGGAGGAGATTGAAAGATGATAATGATGCTTGAAGGAGACAGGTGGAAACGATTGAAGGAGAGGAGATGATGATTGAAGCAGACAGAAGGAGGAAGGATTGAAAGAAAAAGATGCTTGAAGGAGACAGGGAAACGATTGAAGGAGACAGGAGATGAAGATTGGGAAGCAGACAGAAGGGAGATTGAAAGTGACAATGATGCTTGAGAAGGAGACAGGGGAAATGACAAGGAGAAGGAGATTGAAGCAGTATGTAGGAGTGAAAGTGAAAGTATAATGACGCTTAAGGAGACAGGTGGAAACGATTGAAGGAGACAGGAGATGATGATTTTGAAGCAGACAGAAGGGAGGAAGATTGAGGGATAATGATGCTTGGAAGGGAGACAGGTGGGAAAATGATTGAAGGAGAGTTGGAGAAGATGATTAGCTAAGACAGAAGGGAGGAGATTGAAAGTAAAAATGATGCTTAAAGGAGACAGGTGGAAACGATTGAAGGAGACAGGAGAAGATGATGAAGCAGACAGAAGGAGGCGATTGAAAGTGACAGATAATGATGCTTGAAGGATTGAAGGAAACAGAGATGATGATTGAAGAAGACAGAAGGAGGCGATTGAAAGGAGACAGATAATGCAATGAAGGAGACAGGTGGAAACGATTGAAGGAGACAGAAGAAGATGATTGAAATGAGGTTAGAAGGAGGCGTTTGGAAGGAGAAATGCAGGGAGACAGGTGGAAATGATTGAAGGAGGAGACAGGAGAATGATGATTGAAGGAGACAGAAGGAAGGGATTGAAAGGCGACGACAGAATGATGCTTGAAGGAGACAGGTGAAGGAGAGATGATTGAAGCAGACAGAAGGATGACAAGTGACAATGAAGACAGGAAACGAGAAGACAGGAATGATGATTGAAGGAGAAGGGAGGCGATTGAAGGAGACAGATAATGATGATTGGAAGGAGACAGGGAGACAGATGATGATTGAAATGACAGAGGAAGGAGACAGGTGGAATGATTGAAGATGATGATTGAAGCAGACAGAAGGAGGCGATTGAAAGACAAGGAGGCGATTGAAAGTGACAATGTAGAAACGATTGAAGGAGACAGGTGGAAACGATTGGGGAGACAGGAGAAGATGAGAAGAAAGGAAGAAAGGACAGATAATACATGCTTGAAGGATTCAGGAAACGATTGAATGAGACAGGAAATGATGATTAAAGCAGACAGAAGGGGAGTCGATTTAAGCGGACAATGATGCTTGAAGAGACAGGTGGAAAAGATAGAAGGAGACAGGAGAAGATTGAAGAAGACAGAAGGAGGCGATTGAAAGTACAATGATGCTTGAAGGAGACAGGTGGAAATGATTGGAAGGAGACAGGAGAAGATGATTGAAGCAGACAGAAGGAGTGGCGATTGAAAGACAGATAATGATGCTTGAAGGAGACAGGTGGAAACGATTGAAGGAGAGAGGAGATGATGATTGAAGCAGACAGAAGGGAGGCGATTGATTGACAGATAATGATGCTTGAAGGAGACAGGTGGGAAACGATTGAAGGAGACAGGAGATGATTGAAGATGATTGAAGGGACAGGTGAAAGATTCAAGGAGAAGGATTGAAGAGACAGAAGGAGTGAAAGTGACAGATAATGATGCTTGAAGGAGACAGGTGGAAACGATTGAAGGAGACAGAGAAGATGATTGAATCAGACAGAAGGAAAGCGATTGAAAGTGATGATAATGATGCTGAAGGAGACAGTGGAAACGATTGAAGGAGACAGAAGGATGATTGAAGCAGACAGAAGGGGCGATTGAAAGTGACAGATAATGATGCTTGAAGAGACAGGTGGAAACGATTGAAGAGACAGGAGAGGATGATTGAAGACAGAAGAAGGAGGCGAAATGAAAGTGACAATGGTGATGTTTGAAGGAGACAGGTGGAAACGATTGAAGGACAGATGATGATGATTGAAGCAGACAGAAGGAGACGATTGAAAGTGACAATGGTGTTTGAAGGAGACAGGGAAACGATTGAAGGAGACAGGAGAGGATGACAGCGACAGAAGGAGGAGAAATGAAAGTGATAGATAAATGATGTTTAAAGGAGACAAGGGAAAAGATTGAAGGAGACAGGAGATGATGATTGAAGAGACAGAAGGAGACGATTGAAAGTGACAATGTGCTTGAAAGATTCAGGGAAACGATTGAATGAGACAGGAGACGTAAGATTAAGAGACAGAAGGAGGCGATTGAAAGACAATGATGCTTGAATGAGAATAGGTGGAAATGATTGAAGGAGACAGGAGAATAAGATGATTGCAGACACAGAAGGAGGCGATTGAAAGTGACAATAATGATGCTTGAAGGAGACAGGTGGAAACGATTGAACGAGACAGAGATGATGATTGAAGCAGAAGGAGAAGGAGGCAGATTGATTGAAGGAGACAGGAGACAGACACTAAAGGAAGCAAAGGAGGATGGAAACGACAGATGAAGGGAGACAGGAGAAACGATTGATTGAAGAAGATTGAAGCAGAAGGAGAAGGAGATTGAAAGTGATAATGATGCTTGAAGGAGACAGGTGGAAACGATTGAACGAGACAGGAGATGATGATTGGAAGCAGACAGAAGGAGGCGATTGAAAGTGACAATGATGCTTGAAGGAGACAGGTGGAAAGATTGAAGGAGACAGAGAGATGATTGAAGCAGACAGAAGGAGTGATTGAAAAGTGACAATGATGCTTGAATATATAGAAGGAGACAGGTGGAAATGATTGAAGGAGGATGAAAGTGAGATGATGCTTGAAGGAGACAGGTGAAGATTGAGGAGACGATTGAAGCAGACTGAAAAGATGAACAGCTTTGAATGAGACAGGTGGAAATGATTAGCAGACAGAGAGGCAAAGACATGATGCTGAAAGATCTAGGTGGAAATGATTGAAGGAGACAGAGATGACAGAAGGAAGTGGGGCGATTGAAAGACAGACAATGATGCTTGAGACAGGGAAATGATTGAAGGAAACATGATTGAAGGACAGAAGGAGGTGAGATGATGATTGAAGGAGACAGGTGGAAAGATTGAAAGAGACAGATGATGATGCTTTGAAAGGAGATGCTTGAAGGATCTAGGTGGGAAACGATTGGAAGGAGACATTGGAGATGATGATTGAAGCAGACAGAAGGAGGGAAACGATTGAAGACAGGAGATGAAAAGATGGAGGCTTAAGGAGACAGGTGGAAACGATTGAAGGAGACAGGAGAAGATGATTGAAGCAGACAGAAGGAGGCGTTTGGAAGTGACAATGATGCATGAAGGAGACAGGTGGAAATGATTGAACGATGATGAAGGAGAAGGAGGAGAAAATGATTGTGCTGAAGGAGACAGGTGGAGATCTGAGGAGGCGATGATTGAAGGTGAAGTGACAACAGATAATGATGCTTGAAGGAGACAGGTGGAAAGATTGAAGGAGACAGAAATGATGATTGAAAGTGACAGAGGCAATGAAGGGACAGGTGGAAACGAGATTGATGATGATTAGCTAAAGAGAAGACATTGAAAGACAATGATGCTTGAAGGAGACAGGTGGAAAGATTGAAGGAGACAGGAGAAGATGATTTGAAGCAGACAGAAGGGAGGCGATTGAAAGTGACAATGATGCTTGAAGGAGACAGGTAAACGATTGAAGGAGACAGGAGAAGATGATTGAAGCAAGACAGAAGGAGCAAGGACGAAAGTGACAGAATGATGCTTGAAGGATCTAGGTGGAAACGATTGAAGGAGACAGGGATGATGATGAAGCAGAGAAGACGAGAAGGAGATGCGAAGGATTGAAATGATTGACAAGGAGATGATTGAAGGAGACAGAAAGGAGTGGAAATGACAATTGGAAGAAGACAGGAGATGATGAAAGATTGAAGCAGGAAGATGATTGAAGGGGAAGAGGCGAATGGAAGTGACAGATAATGATGCTTGAAGGAGACAGGTGGGAAACGATTGAAGGAGACAGGAAGATGACGAAGGAGACAGAAGGAGGATTGAAAGACAGATAATGACGCTTGAAGGAGACAGGAAACGATTGAAGGAGACAGGAGATGATTGATTGAAAGCACAGATAATAATGGTTGAAGGAGACAGGTGGAAACGATTGAAAGAGACAGAGATAATGATGCTTGAAGGAGACAGGTGGGAAACGATTGGAAGGAGAGAAACGATTGGAGATGGAAGATGATTGCTAAGACAGAAGGCGATTGAAAGTGACAATGGTGCTTGAAGGAGAAAGGTTGGGAAAGAAGATGATTGAAGGAGACAGAAGGAACGATTGAAAGTGACAATGATGCTTGAAGGATTCAGGGGAAACGATTTAAATGGACAATGATGCTTGAAGGAGATGACAGGTGGGAAACGATTGAAGGAGACAGGAGAAGATGATTGAAGCAGACAGAAGGAGGTGATTGAAAGTGACAATGATGTTTGAAGGAGACAGGTGGAAACGATTGAAGGAGATATAGATGATTGATTTGAAAGCAATGATGCTTGAAGGAATAGGTGGAAATGATTGAACGACGAGATGATGATGACAGAAAGTGAATGATGCTTGAAGGAGACAGGTGAAAGAAAAGGATTGAAGGAGACAGAAGGATGATGACAGATAATGATGCTTGAAGGACAGGTGGAAGGAAGGAGACAGATGATGAGACTGGAAGCAGAATGATGATGCTTTAAAACGATTGATCTAGGGTGGAAATGGAGGCGATTGAAGGACAATTATGGAAGATGAAACGATTGAAGGAGACAGAGAAGATGATTGGAAGGAAGGAGGCGATGAAAGTGATGATAATGATGCTTGAAGGAGACAGGTGGAAATGATTGAAGGAGACAGGAGATGAGATGATGAAGCAAGACAGAAGGAGGCGATTGAAAGTGACAATGATGCTTGAAGGAGACAGGTGGAAACGATTGGAAGGAGACAGGAGAAGATGATTAAAGCTAAGATGGAAGGAGGCGATTGAAAGTGACAATGGTGCTTGAATGAGACAGGTGGAAACGATTGAAGGAGACAGGAGAAGATGATTGATGCAAGACAGATGCTTGAAGGATTCCAGGTGGGAACGATTGAAGGAGATAGAGAATGATGCTTGGAAGGGAAGCGATTGAAAAGACAATGATGCTGGAAACGAAACGATTGGGAAGGAGGCAGGAGATGATGATTGAAGCAGACAGAAGGAGGCGATAGGAAAGTGACAATGATGCTTGAAGGAGACATGATTGAAACAGAGAAGAAGGAGACAGAGAAGATGATTGGAAGCAGAAGGAGACAGAAGCAGACAGAAGGAGGCGTTTGAAATGAAATGACAAAATGATTGAAGGAGACAGGCGATGAGATTGAAGGAGAAGGAGGGAAAGAAATGATTGAAGGAGGTGGAAACAGGAGATGATGATGATGAAGCAGACAGAAGGGAGAAGATTGAAAGTGACAATGATGCTTGAAGGAGACAGGTGGAAACGATTGAAGGAGACATGAGAAGATGATTGAAGCAGACAGAAGGAGGTGATTGAAAGTGGCAATGATGCTTGAAACGATTGACAGAGATGATGAAACGACAGAAGGAGGCGATTGAAGGTGACAATGATGAGAGGATGATTGAAGGATGATGATTGAAGGATGAAGGAGATTGAAAGTGACAGATAATGATGCTTGAAGGAGACAGGTGGAAAAGATTGAAGGAGACAGATGATGATGATTGAAGCAGACAGAAGGAGACGATTGAAAGTGACAATAATAATGCTTGAAGGAGACAGGTGGAAACGATTGAAGAGACAGGAGATGATGATTGAAGGCACAGAAGGAGGCGATTGAAAGTGACATACGATGTTTGGGGGAGACAGGTGGAAATGATTGAAGGGAGATGGAGAAGATGCTTGAAGCAGACAGAAGGAGGCGATGATGAAAGGACAGGGAAACGATTAGATGCTTGAAGGAGATGCAGGATGGAAACAGATTGAACTAGCAGGAGATGACAGATTGAAGCAGATGAAGAGGCGATTGAAAGTGAGACAATGATGCTTAAAGGAGAAGGAAATTGATTGCTGGAGACAGGAGATGATGATTGAAGCTAAGCCAGAAGGAGGCAGATTGAAAGTGACATAATGATGCTTGAAGAGACAGGAAACAGATTGAAGGAGACATAAGATGATTAGCTGGTGCCAGAAGGAGGCGTTAGACAGATAATGATGCTTGAAGGAGACAGGTGGAAAAGATTGAAGGAGACAGATGATGATTGAAGCAGAAGGAAGACGATTGAAAGTGACAATGATGCTTAAAGGAGACAGGGGAAATGATTGAAGGCAGACAGGAGATGATGATTGTTAAGACGGAAGAGTGAGATTGAAAGTGGCACAATGATGCTTGAAGGAGGACAGGAAATGATTGAAGGAGGTCAGAGATGATGATTGGAAGCAGACAGAAGGAGGTACATTGAAAGTGAAATGGTGCTTGAAGATGGGAGGTGGAAACGATTGAAGGAGACAGGAGATGATGATTGAAGCAGACAGAAGGAGGCGATTGAAAGTGACAATGATGTTTGAAGGATTCGATTGGTGGAAATGATTGAAGGAGACAGGAGATGATGATTGAAGCAGACAGAAGGAAGGAGACAGATTGAAAGTGACAAAGGATGCTTGAAGGATTGAGGTGGAAACGATTGAAGGAGATGATTGGAGATAGATGATTGAAGCAGACAGAAGGAGGCGATTGAAAGTGACAATGATGCTTGAAGGAGACAGGTGGAAAAGATTGAAGGAGACAGAGATGATGATTGATTGCAGACAGAAGGAAGGACAGTGATTGAAAGGAGACAATGGTGCTTGAAGGAGACAGATGGAAATTGATTGAAGGAGACAGGAGAAGATGATTGAAGGAGACAGAAGGGAGGAATATTGAAAGGACAGATAAATGATGCTTGAAGGAGACAGGTCGAAATGATTGAAGAGAGAGAAATGAAGATGATTGAAGCAAGACAGAAGGAGGGTGTGGGAACGATTGAAAGTGACAAGATGATGCTTGAAGGGAGACAGGTGGAAAACGATTGAAGGAGACAGGAGATGATGATTGAAGCAGACAGAAGGAGGCGTGATTGAAAGTGACAATGATGCTTGAAGGAGACAGGTGGAAATGATTGAAGGAGACAGGAGAAGATGATTGAAGCAGACAGAAGGAGTAAGGCGAAAGTGACAAATGATGCTTGAAAGATTCAGGTGGAAACGATTGAAGGAGACAGGGAGATGATGATTGTAAGCAGACAGAAGGAGGCGATTGAAAGTGACAATGATGGTCAGAAGGAGACTGAGACAGGTGGGAAATGATGAAGGAGAGGTGAAATGATGATGGATGATTGAAGCAGACAGAAGGAGGCGATTGAAAGAAAATGATGCTTGAAGGAGACAGGTGAAAATGATTGAACGAGACAGGAGAATGATTGAACGAGAAGGAGGCAGGATGAAAGTGACAATAATGATGCTTGAAGGAGACAGGAAAACGATTGAGACAGGAGATGATGAGAGTCGAAGGAGGGAGATTGAAAGTGACATAATGATGCTTGAAGGAGACAGGTGGAAAAGATTGAAGGAGACAGATGATGATGATGATTGAAGCAGACAGAAGGAGACGATTGAAAGTGACAATGATGCTTGAAGGAGACAGGTGGAAATGATTGAATGAGACAGATGATGATGATTGAAGCAGACAGAAGGGAGGTTATTGAAAGTGACAATGATGCTTGAAGGAGACAGGTGGAAATGATTGAAGGAGACAGGAGAAGATGATTGAAGCAGACAGAAGGAGGTGATTGAAAGTGACAGATAATGATGCTTGAAGGAGACAGGTGGAAACGATTGAACGAGACAGGAGATGATGATTGAAAGCAGACAGAAGGGGAGGCGATTGAAAGTGACAATGATGCTTGAAGGAGACAGGTAAAACATTGAAGGGGGAGACAGGAGATGACACATTGAAGCAGAAGGAGGCGTTTGAAAGTGATGATGAAGGAGACAGGTGGAAACGAGGAGGAGACAGGAGAAAGATTGACAGACAGAAGGAGCGTTTGAAGGAGACAGGGATTCAGGAAACGATTGAAGGAGACAGGAGATGATGACGAAGCAGACAGAAGGAGGCGAGAAAGTGACAATGATGTTTAGCTTGAAACGATTGAAGGAGGCGAGACAGTGAGATGATGATTGAAGAAATGATGCTTGAAAGGACAATGATGCAGGAGACAGGTGGAAACGATTGAAGGAGACAGGAGAAGATGATTGAAGCAGACAGAAGGAGGAGATTGAAAGTGACAATAATGATGCTTGAAGGAGACAGGTGGAAACGATTGAAGGAGACAGGAGATGATGATTGAAGCAGACAGAAGGAGGCGATTGAAAGTGACAAATGATGCTTGAAGGAGACAGGTGGGAAAAAGATTGAAGGAGACAGGAGATGATGATTGAAGCAGACAGAAGGAGGCGATTGAAAGTGACAATGATGCTTGAAGGAGACAGGTGGAAACGATTGAAGGAGACAGAGATGATGATTGTGCAGACAGAAGGAGGCGATTGAAAGTGACAATGATGCTTGAATCTAGACAGGTGGAAATGATTGAAGGAGACAGGAGATGATGATTGAAGCAGACAGAAGGAGGCGATTGAAAGTGACAATGATGCTTGAAGGAGACAGGTAGAAATGATTGAAGGAGACAGGAGATGATGATTGAAGCAGACAGAAGGAGGCGAATGAAAGTGACAATGATGCTTGAAGGAGACAGGTTGAAGAAACGATTGAATGAGACAGGAGATGATGATTTGAAAGCAGACAGAAGGAGGAGACGAAGATGATTGAAGCAGACAGAAAAAGATGCTTGAAGGAGACAGGTGGAAAGATTGAAGGAGACAGGATGATGATGATTGAAGCAGACAGAAGGAGACGATTGAAAGTGACAATGATGCTTGAAGGAGACAGGTGGAAAGATGATGATTGATGCAGATTGAAGGAGATGCTTGAGGAGAAGATGATTGAAGCAGACAGAAGGAGGCGATTGAAAGTGACAATGATGCTTGAAGGAGGTGGAAACGATTGAAGGAGACAGGAGATGATGATTGAAGCAGACAGAAGGAGGCGATTGAAAGTGACAGATAATGATGCTTGAAGGAGACAGGTGGGAAATGATTGAATGAGACAGGAGAAGATGATTGGAAGCAGACAGAAGGAGGCGATTGAAAGTGACAATGATGCTTGAAGGATTCACAGGATTGAAGGAGACAGGAGATGATGATGAAGGGAGGCGAGACAGGATAATGATGGAATGATGAAACGGAGACAGAAGGATGACAAAGCAGAAGGAGGCGATTTGAAAGTGACAATGATGCTTGAAGGAGACAGGTGGGAAACGATTGAAGGAGACAGAGATGATGATTGAAGCAGACAAAGGAGGCGATTGAAAGTGACAGATAATGATGCTTGAAGAGACAGGAAACGATTGAAGGAGATAGGAGAAGATGATTGAAGCAGACAGAAGGAGGCGATTGAAAGACAATGATGCTTGAAGGAGACAGGTGGAAATGATTGAAGGAGACAGGAGAAGATGATTAAAGCAGACAGAAGGAGGGAATGAAAGGTGAAACGAGAAGGAATGAGAAGATGCTTGAAGGAGACAGGGAAAAAATGATTTGAAGGAGACAGAGGATGATGAGACATGAAAGATGAGAAGCAGAAGGGAGGCGATTGAAAGTGACAATGATGCTTGAAGGAGACAGGTGGAAACGACGAAGGAGACAGGAGAGATGATTGAAGCAGACAGAAGGAGGGATTGAAAGGAAATGGATTGAAGGCTTGAAGGAGACAGGTGGAAATGATGCTTGAAGGAGACAAATGGAGAAGATGATTGAAGCAGACAGAAGGAGGCGATTGAAAGTGACAGATAATGATGCTGAAGGAGACAGGTGGAAACGATTGAAGGAGACAGGGAGATGATGATTGAAGCAGACAGAAGGAGGAGATTGAAAGTGACAATAATGATGCTTAAAGGAGACAGGTGGAAACGATTGAAGGAGACAGGAGAAGATGATTGAAGACAGAAGGAAGGGAGAAAGATAATGATGCTTGAATGAGACATGTGGAAACGATTGAAGGAGACAGGAGAAGATGACTGAGCAGAAAGATCTAATGATGCTTGAAGGAGACAGGTGGAAACGATTGAATGAGACAGGAGAATATTGAAGCAGAGATAGAAGGCGATTGAAAGTGAAAATGATGCTTTGAAGGAGACAGGTGGAAATGATTGAAGGAGATAGGAGAATGATTGAAGCAGACAGAAGGAGACGTTTGAAAGTGAAACATGCTTGAAGGAGACAGGTGGAAACAATTAAGGAGACAGAAGAAGATGATTGGAAGCAGACAGAAGGGAGGCGATTGAAGGACAATGATGCTTGAAGGATTCAGGTGGAAATGATTGAAATGAGACAGGAGATGATGATTGAAGCAGACAAGCAAGGATTGGAAAGTGACAATGATTCTTGAATGAGACAGGTGGGAAACGATTGAAGGAGACAGGAGAAGATGATTGAAATAAGACAAAGGGAGGCGTTTAAAAGTGACAATATGATTTGGAAGGAGACAGGGGTGGAAACGATTGAATGAGACAGGAGATGATGATTAAGACAAAAAGAGGCGATTGAAAGTACAATGATGCTTGAAGGACAGGTGGAAAAGATCTGGAGGAAGAGACAGGAGATGATGATTGAAGGACAGAAGGAGGCGGCGATTGAAAGTGACAGATAATGATGCTCGAAGGAGACAGGTGGAAACGATTGAAGGAAGACAGGAGATGATGATTGAAGCAGACAGAAGGGAGGCGATGAAAGACAGACAATGATGCTTGAAGGAGACAGGTGGAAAAGATTGAAGGAGACAGGAGAAGATGATTGAAGGAGACAGAAGTAGACGATTGAAAGAGTGACAGATAATGATGCTTGGAAGGAGACAGGTGGAAACGATTGAAGGAGACAGGAGAAGATGATTGAAGACAGAAGGAGGCGATTGAAAGTGACAATGATGCTTGAAGGAGACAGGTGGAAATGATTGAAGGAGCAGGAGAAGATGATTGAATCAGACAGAAGGAGGCGATTGAAACAGATAATGATGCTTAAAGGATTCAGTGGAAACGATTGAAGGAGACAGGAGATGAAGATTGAATCAGACAGAAGGAGGCGAGGAAAGTGACATAGTGGATAAATGATGCTTGAAGGAGACAGGATGAAACGATTGAAGGAGACAGGAGATGATGATTGAAGCAGACAGAAGGAAGCGATTTGAAAGTGACAATGATGTTTGAAGGAGACAGGTGGAAAAGATTGAAGGAGACAGGAGATGATGATTGGAAGCAGATTAGAAGGATAAGGATTGAAAGTGACAGAATGATGCTTGAAGGAGACAGGTGGAAACGATTGAAGGAGATAGAGAGGATGATTGAAGCAAGACAGAAGGAGTGAAATGAAAGTGACAGATAATGATGCTTGAAGGAAGACAGGTGGGAAACGATTAAGGAGACAGAGAGGATGATTGAAGCAGACAGGGGGATGGAGGCGTTTGAAAGTGACAGATAATGATGCTTGAAAGAGACAGGTGGAAACGATTGAAGGAGACAGATGAAGATGATTGAAGCAGACAGAAGGAGACGATTGAAAGTGACAATGATGCTTGAAGGAGAGACATGGAAACGATTGAAGGAGACAGGAGATGAGATGATTGGAAGCAGAATAGAAGGAGGCGATTGAAAGCAGACAGATAATGATGCTTGAAGAGACAGGGAAATGATTGAAGGAGACAGGAGAAGATGATTGAAGCAGACAGAAGGAGGCGATTGAAAGTGACAATGGATGTTTGAAGGAGACAGGGTGGAAACGATTGAAGGAGACAGGAGAAGATGATTGAATCAAGACAGAAATGAGTTAATTGAAAGTGACAATGATGCTTGAAGGAGACAGGGAAACGATTGAAGGAGACAGAGATGATGATTGAAGCAGACAGAAGGAGGTTGATTGAAAGACAATGATAATGGAAGGAGAAGGAGACAGGATGAAAGATGATTGAAGCAGACAGGAGATGATGATTGATGCTTGAAGGAGTAGATAAACGATTGAAGGAGACAATGGATGCTTGGAAGGAGACAGATGGAGGCGATCTGAGGAGACAGATAATGATGCTTGAAAGAGACAGAAGGAGGCGATTGAAGGTGACAGATGATGATGATTTGAAGGAGACACGGAAATGTTTGAAGGAGAGAAATGATTGCATGGAGAGGATGATGATGAAGCAGACAGAAGGAGGCGATTGAAAGTGACAGATAATGATGCTTGAAGGAGACAGGTGGAAACGATTGAAGGAGACAGGAGAAGATGGTTTGAAGCAAGACTGGAAGGAGGCGTTTGAAAAGTGACAATGATGCTTGAAGGAGACAGGTGAAACGATTGAAGAGACAGGAGATGATATTGATGAGCACAGATTGAGGCGATTGAAAGGGAATGATGCTTGAAGGATTCAGGTGGAAATGATTGAAGGAGACAGAGAAGATGATTGAAAAGCAGACAGAAGGAGGTGATTGAAAGTGACAGATAATGAGATGCTTGAAGGAGACAGGAAAAACGATTGAAGGAGACAGGAAACACATTGAAGCAGACAGAAGGAGGCGTTTGAAAGACAATGATGCTTGAAGGAGACAGGGAAACGATTGAAGGAGACAGGAGAAGATGATTGAAGCAGACAGAAGGAGGCGATTGAAAGTGACAATGGTGCTTGAAGGAGACAGGAAAAAACGATTGAAGGAGACAGGATGATGATGATTGATGCAGACAGAAGGGGAGGCGATTGAAAGTGACAATGGTGCTTGAAGGATCAGGTGGAAACGATTGAAGGAGACAGGAGATGATGATTGAAGCTAGACAGAAGGAGGCGACTGAAAGTAAAAAAGATGCTTGAAGGAGGACAGGGTGGGAAACGATTGAAGGAGACAGAGATGATGATTGAAGACAGACAGAAGGACAATGATGCATGAAGGAGACAGGTGGAAACGATTGTGACAATGATGATTGAAGGAGACAGGGAGGAAACGATTGAACGAGACAGGAGATGAAGATTCGAGGAGACAGAAGACAGTCAGACAGAAAGTGAATGAAAGTGACAGATAATGCTGCTTAGCTGGAGACAGGTGGAAAGATTGAAGGAGACAGATGATGATGATTGGCAGGAGAAGGAGGCGATTGAAAGTGACAGATAATGATGCTGAAGGAGACAGGTGGAAACGATTGAAGTATAGGAGATGATGATTGAAGGATGATGATGATTGAAGTGAATACAGAAGGAGGCGATTGAAAGAGACAATGATGCTTGAATGAGACAGGAAAGGACAATGATTGAAGAGACAGAAAGGATTGAAGATGAGATTGAAGCTAGACAGAAGGAGGCGTTTGAAAGTGACAATGATGCTTCAAGAGACAGGTGGAAACGATTGAACGAGACAGAGATGATGATTGAAGCAGACAGAAGGAGGCATTGAAAGTGACAGATAATGATGCTTGAAGGAGACAGTGAAAGATTGAAGAAACAGAGATGATGATTGAAGCAAGACAGAAAGAGGCGATTGAAAGTGACAATGATGCTTGAAGGAGACAGGTGGAAAAGATTGAAGGGAGACAGGAGAAAGATTGATTGAAAGAGACAGATAATGACGCAGAAGGACAGGCGAATGATTGAAAGAGACAGAGATGATGATTGGAAGGAGACAGGCGATTGGAAACGATTGAAAAGACAGAAGAGATGATGATTGGAAGAGACAGAAGGGGAGGGACGAAAGTGACAGATAATGATGCTTGAAGGAGACAGGTGGGAAATTCGATTGAAGGAGACAGGAGATGATGATTGATTGAAAGATGCTTGAAGGAGACAGAAGGAGACAGATTGAGGCGATTGAAAGACAGATAATAATGCTTGAAGGAGACAGGTGGAAATGATTGAAGGAGACAGGAGATGATGATTGGAGCAGACAGAAGGAGGAGATTGAAAGACAGATGATGATGCTTGAAGGAGACAGGGAAACGATTGGAAGGAGACAGGGAGAAGATGATTGAAGCAGACAGGAGGCGATTGAAAGTGACAATGATGCTTGAAGAGACAGGTGGAAACGATTGAAGGAGACAGGAGAAGATGATTGAAGCAGAGAGAAGGAGGCGTTTGAAAGTGACAATGATGCTTGAAGGAGACAGGTGGAAACGATTGAAGAGATACAGGAGATGATGATTGAAGGCGATTGAAAGACAACATGCTTGAAGGATTCAGGTGGAACGATTGGAAGGAGACAAAATGATGATTGTTGAAGGAGGTTGGAAAATGATGCTTGAAGGAGACAGGAGAAATGATGATTGAAGGAAGATGATTGAAGACAGAAGGAGTAAGCGATTGAAAGTGACAATGATGCTTGAAGGAGACAGGTGGAAACGATTGAAGGAGACAGGAGAAGATGATTGAAGCGCAGACAGAAGGAGGCGATTGAAAGACAATGATGCTTTGAAGGAGACAGGGTGGAAACGATTGAAGGAGACAGGGAGATGATGATTGGAAGCAGACAGAAGGGAGGCGATTGAAAGTGACAATGATGCTTGAAATGGAGACAGGGGAAAGTATTGAAGGAGAAGGACAGGAGAAAGTGACAATGATGCTTGAAGGAGACAGAAGGAAGGAGACGATTGAAAAGGAGACAGATAATGATGACTTGAAGGAGACAGGTGGGAAACGAATGAAGGAGACAAGGAGATGATGATTTGAAGCAGACAGAAGGGGAGACAGAGATGATGAAACAGATTGACAATGATGACTTGAAGGATTCAGGTGGAAACGATTGAAGGAGATAGAGATGATGATGAAGCAGACAGAAGGAGGCGATTGAAAGACAATTATGCTTGAAGGAAACAGGTGGAAACGATTGAAGGAGACAGAGAAGATGGGAAGCATAATTGAGTGACAGACAGAAGGAGGAACGATTGAAGGAGACAGATAATGATGCTTGGAAGGAGACAGGGGGGAAAAGATGAAAGGAGACAGGAAACGATGATTGGAAGCAGAGAAGATGATTGAAGGAGGAGGCGATTGAAAGTGACAATGATGCTTGAAGGAGACAGGTGGAAAATGATTGAAGGAGACAGAGAAGATGATTTGAAGCTAAGACAGAAGGAGAAGATTGAAAGTGACAATAATGATGCTTGAGAGACAGGTGGAAAGATTGAAGGCAGATGATGATGAAAGCGAAGGAGACGATTGAAGGAGACAGGAGAAGATGATTGAAGGAGACAGAGATGATGATTGAAGCAGAAGAAGGAGGCGATTGAAAGTGACAGATAATGATGCTTGGAAGGAGACAGGTGGAAACGATTGAAGGAGACACAGGAGGATAATGATTGAAGCAAGACAGAAGGAGGCGATTGAAAGTGACAATGATGCTTGAAGGACAGGTGGAAAATGATTGAAGGAGACAGGAGATGATGATGAAGCTAAGACAGAAGGAGGCGATTGAAAGTGACAACGATGCTTGGAAGGAGAGTGGAAACGATTGAAGGAGACAGGAGAAGATGATTGAAGCAGACAGAAGGGGAGGCGTTTGAAAGTGACAAATGATGCTTGAAGGAGACAGGTGGAAACGATTGAAACGAGACAGGAGAAGATGATTGAAGCAGAAGAAGGAGGCGATTGAAAGTGACAATGGTGCTTGAAGGATTCAGGTGGAAATGATTGGAAGGAGACAGAGATGATGACTGAAGCTAAGACAGAAGGAGGATTGAAAGTGACAATGATGCTTGAAGGATTCAGGGAACGATTGAAGGAGACAGAGATGATGATTGAAGACAGAAGGAGGCGATTGAAAGTGACAGATAATGATGCTTGAAGGAGACAGGTGGAAACGATTGGAGAGGAGACAGGAGAAGATGATTGCTTGAAGGAGACAGGTGGAAAATGATTGAATGAGACTTGAAGACAGATTGATAATTGAAAGTGATGCACAAGGAGACAGGTGAAACGATTGAAGGAGACAGGAGATGATGATTGAAGCAGACAGAAGGAGGCGATTGAAAGTGACAGATAATGATGCGGAAGGAGACAGGTGGGAAATGATTGAAGGAGACAGGAAATGATGATTGAAGCAGACAGAAGGAGGCGATTGAAGTGACAATAATGATGCTTGAAGGAGACAGGTGGAAACGATGGAAGGAGACAGATGATGATGATTAGCAGACAGAAGGAGGCGATTGAAGGAGACAGGTGGGAAAGTCATTGAAGATAAGATGATGATTGATGGACAGATTGAAGGATTGAAAGTGACAATGGTGAAGGATTCAGATTGGAAATGATTGAAGGAGACAGGAGATGATGATTGGAAGCAGACAGAAGGAGGGCGTTTGAAAGATAATGATGCTTGAAGGAGACAGGTGGAAACGATTGAAGGAGACAGGAGAAGATGTTTGAAGGAGACAGAAGGAGGCGATTAAGTGACAATGATGCTTGAAGGAGACAGGTGGAAACGATTGAAGGAGATGGGAGGAAGATGATTGAAGCAGACAGAAGGAGGACAGAAATTGAAAGATAATGATGCTTTGAAGGAGACAGGTGGAAACGATTGAAGGAGACAGGAGATGATGATCAAGCAGACAGAAGGGAGGCGACTGAAAGTGACAGATAAATGAAGGAGGTTAAAGGAGACAGAAGGAAAACGATTGGAAGGAGACAGGAGATAATGATTGTGCAGACAGAAGGAGCATTGAAGTGACAATGATGCTTGAAGGATTCAGGTGAAATGATTGAAGGAGACACAGGAGAAGATGATTGAAGCAGACAGAAGGAGGCGTTTGAAAGTGATAATGATGCTTAACAGACAGGTGAAAGGATTGAACGAGACAGGAGATGATGATTGAAGCAGACAGAAGGAGGCGATTGAAAGTGACAATGATAACATGCTTGAAGGAGACAGGTGAAAAGATTGAAGGAGACAGGAGATGATGAAGATTGAAGGACAGAAGGAGGTGATTGAAAGTGACAATGATGCTTGAAGGATTAGGTGGAAATGATTGAAGGAGACAGGAGATGATGATTGAAGAGACAGAAGGAGGTGAATGAAAGTGACAATGATGCTTGAAGGAGACAGGTGGAAACGATTAAAGGAGACAGGAGAAGATGATTGAAGCAGACAGAAGGAGGCGATTGAAAGTGACATGGTGCTTAAGGAGACAGGTGGGAAACGATTGAAGGAGACAGGAGATGATGATTGATGGTGAGAGATTGAGGCGATTGAGTGACAATGGTGCTTAAAGGAGACAGGTGGGAAACGATTGAAGAGACAGGAGATGATGATTGATGCAGACATAGATTGAGGCGATTGAAAGTGACAGATAATGATGCTTGAAGGATTCAGGTCGAACGATTGAAGGAGACAGGAGATGACATTGAAGCTGATGAAGGAGCGATTGAAAGTGACAATGATGTTTAAGGAGACAGGGGAAATGATTGAAGGAGACAGAGAGGATGATTGAAGTGACAGAAGGAAGGCGACTGAAAGTGACAATGGTGCTTGAAGGAGACAGGTGGAAACGATTGAAGGAGACAGGATGATGATTGATGGATAGAAGGAGAGGATTGAAAGTGACAATGATGTTGAAGGATTCAGGGAAATGATTGAAGGAGACAGGAGATGATGATTGAAGCAGACAGAAGGAGGTTTATTGAAAGATAAATGATGTTTGAAGGAGACAGGAAATGATTGAAGGAGACAGGAGAGGATGATTGAAGCAGACAGATGGAGGCGATTGAAAGTGACAGATAACATGCTTGAAGAGACAGGTGAAAATGATTGAAGGAGACAGATGATGATGATTAAAGCAGATGAAGGATGACGAAAGTGACAATGATGCTTCAAGGAGACAGGTGGAACGATTGAAGGAGACAGGAGATGATGATTGAAGCAGACAGAAGGAGGAAGGATTGAAAGACAGATAATGATGCTTAAGGAGACAGGAAAAAGATTGGAAGGAAACAGATGATGATGTTTGAAGCAGACAGAAGGAGGCTATTGAAAGGGACAATGATGCTTGGAAGGAGACAGGTGGAAAATGAGGAAGGAGACAGGGAGGAAGATGATTGAAGCAGACAGAAGGAGGCGATTGAAAAAGTGACAATGATGCTTGAAGGAGACAGGTGGGAAACGATTGAAGGAGACAGGAGATGATGATTGAAGCAGACAGAAAGGAGGCGATTGAAAATGACAGATAATGATGCTTGAAGGAGACAGGTGGAAAATTGAAGGAGACAGGAGATGATGATTGAAGCAGACAGAAGGAGAGGCGATTGAAAGGACAAGATGTTGAAGGAGACAGGTGGAAATGATTGAAGGAGACAGGAGATGATGATTAGAAGGACAGAAGGAGGCGTTTGAAAGTGAAAATGATGCTTTGAAGGAGACAGGTGAAAGATTGAACGAGACAGGAGATGATGATTGAAGACAGAAGGAGGATTAAAGTGACAGATAATGATGCTTGAAGGAGACAGGTGGAAATGATTGAAGGAAAGATGATGATTGAAGCAGAGAAGGAGGATGATGAAGGAGACAGGTGGGAAATGATTAAGGAGACAGGAGATGATGATTGAAGCAGAGAAGGATTGAAAGTGACAATGATGCTTGAAAAGATTCAGGTGGAAACGATTGAAGGAGAGGAGAAGATGATTAGCAGACAGAAGGAGGCGATTGAAAGTGACAATGATGCTTGAAGGAGACAGGTGGAAATGATTGAAGGAGACAGGAGAGATGATTGAAGTAGACAGAAGGAGGCGATTGAAAGTGACAATGATGATGCTTGAAGGAGACAGGTGGAAATGATTGAAGGAGACAGGAGATGATGATTGAAGCAGACAGAAGGAGGTGATTGAAAGTGACAATGATGCTTGTAGACAGGCAGGTGGAAACGATTGAAGAAGACAGGAGATGATGATTGAAGCAGACAGAAGGAGGCGATTGAAAGTGACAATGATGCTTGAAGGAGACAGGTGGAAATGATTGAATGAGACAGGAGATGATGATTGAAGCAGACAGAAGGAGGAGGATTGAAAGTGACAATGATGCTTTGAAGGAGACAGGTGGAAATGATTGAAGGAGACAGGAGATGATGATTGAAGCAGACAGAAGGAGGCGATTGAAAGTGACAATGATGCTTGAAGGAGACAGGTGGGAAACGATTGAAGGAGACAGGAGAAGATGATTAAGCAGACAGAAGGAGGCGATTGAAAGTGACAATGATGCTTGAAGGATCTAGGTGGAAACGATTGAAGGAGACAGGAAATGATGATTGAAGCAGACAGAAGGAGGCGATTGAAAGATACAATGATGCTTCAAGGAGACAGGGTAGAAAGGATTGAATGAGACAGAGATGATGATTGAAGCAGACAGAAGGAGACGATTGAAAGGACAGATGACAATGATGCTTGAAGGAGACAGGTGGAAAAGATTGGAAGGAGATGGAGAAAGAACATGCTTGAAGAGACAGAAGGATGATGATTGAAGCAGGAAGGAGGCGAAAGACAATGATGCTTGAAGGATTCAGGTGGAAACGAGGAAGGAGACAGGAGATGATGATTGAAGCAGACAGAAGGAGGTGATTGAAAGTGACAATGATGTTTGAAAGAGACAGGTGGAAACGATTGAAGGAGAGACAGGAGATGATGATTGAAGCAGACAGAAGGAGGATTGAAAGTGACAATGATGCTTGAAGGAGACAGGTGGAAACGATTGAAGGAGATTGAGAAGATGATTGAAGGAGACAGAAGGAGGCGATTGAAAGTGACAGATAATGCTTGTTTGAAAGAGACAGGTGGGAAATGATTAAGGAGACAGGAGATGATGATTGAAGGAGACAGAAGGAGGCGATTGAAAGTGACAGGAAAAGATGCTTGAAGGAGACAGGTGGAAAATTTGAAGGAGACAGAGAAGATGATTGAAGGACAGAAGGAGGGGATTGAGTGACAGATAAATGATGCTTGAAGGAGACAGGTGGAAACGATTGAAGGAGACAGGAGATGATGATTGAAGCAGACAGAAGGAGGAGATTGAAAAGTGACAGATAATGATGCTTAAAGGAGACAGGTGGAAAATGGGATTGAAGGAGACAGGAGATGATGATTGAAGCAAGACAGAAGGAGGCGATAAGTGACAGATAATGATGCTTGAAGGAGATAGGTGGAATGATTGAAGGAGACAGGAGATGATGATTGAAGCAGACAGAAGGAGAAGACGAAAGTGACAATGATGCTTGAAGGATTCAGGTGGAAACGATTGAATGAGAGGAGATGAAGATTGAAGCAGACAGAAGGAGGCGATTGAAAGTGACAATGATGCTTGAAGGAGACAGGTGGAAATGATTGAAGGAGACAGGAGATGATGATTGAAGCAGACAGAAGGAGGCGATTGAAAGTGACAATGATGCTTGAAGGAGACAGGTGGAAAATTGATTTGAAGCAGACAGGAGAAGAAAGTGACAATGATGCTTGAAGGATTCAGGTGGAAACGATTGAAGGAGACAGAGATGGATCAGGAAGGATGATTGAAAGTGATAATGATGCTTGAAGGAGACAGGTGGAACGATTGAAGGAGACAGGAGATGATGATTAAAGCAGACAAAGGAGACAGAATGAAAGATTGAAAGATAATGATGCTTTAAGAGACAGTGGAAAAGATTGAAGGAGACAGGAGAGATGATTAAAGGCATGAAGGAGTCGAGGAAAGAAAGAGATAATGATGCTTAGTTGAGACAGGGTGGAAAAGATTGAAGGAGACAGGAAATGATTGGGGCTAAGATAGGAGACGATTGAAAGTGACAATGATGCTTGAAGGAGACACAGGAAACGATTGAAGGAGACAGGAGAAGATGATTGAAGAAGAGACAGAAGGAGTGATTAGAAAGTGACAGATGATGCTTGAAGGAGACAGGTGAAAGGATTGAAGGAGACAGAGAGATGATGATTGAAGCAGACAGAAGGAGGCGATTAAAAGTGACAGATAATGATGCTTGAAGAAGGAGACTGATTGAAACGATTGAACAGGAAGATGGAGATGATGATTAAAGCAGACAGAAGGAAGTGACGAAAGTGACAATGATGTTTGAAGGAGACAGGTGGAAACGATTGAAGGAGACAGGGAGATGATGATTGAAGCAAGACAGAAGGAGGCGATTGAAAGTGACAATAATGACTTGAAATAGACAGGTGGAAACGATTGAAGGAGACAGGAGAAGATGATTGAAGCAGACAGAAGGAGGCGATTGAAAGTGACAATGACGCTTGAAAGAGACAGGTGGAAATGATTGAAGGAGACAGGAGATGATGATTGAAGCAAAGACAGAAGGAGGATTTAAAGTGACAGAATGATGCTTGAAGGAGACAGGTGGAAACGATTGAAGGAGACAGGAGATGATGATTGAAAGTAGACAGAAGGAGGCGATTGAAAGTGACAATGATGCTTGAAGGAGACAGGTGGAAATGATTGAAGGAGACAGGGAGAAGATGATTGAAGCAGACAGAAGGAGGCGAATGAAAGTGACAGATGATGCTTGAAGGAGACAGGTGGAAACGATTGAAGGAGACAGGAGATGATGATTAAGCAGACAGAAGAAGGAGATTGAAAGTGACAATGATGCTTGAAGGAGACAGGTGGAAACGATTGAAGGAGACAGGAGATGATGATTGAAGCAGACAGAAGGAGGCGATTGAAAGTGAAATGATGCTTGAAGGAGACAGGTGGAAACGATTGAAGGAGACAGGAGAAGATGATTGAAGGAGACAGAAGGAGGTGATTGAAAGGACAGATAATGATGCTTGAAGGAGACAGGTGGAAATGATTGAAGGAGACAGGAGATGATGATTGAAGCAGAAGAGAAGGGGAGGCGATTGAAAGGACAATAACACGATGCTTGAAGGAGACAGGAAACGATTGAAGGAGACAGGGAGAAGATGATTATTAGCAGACAGAAGGAGGGGATTGAAAGTGACAATGATGCTTGAAGGAGACAGGTGGAAATGATTGAAGGAGAGACAGGAAGATGATTGAAGCAGACAGAAGGAGGCAAGCGAAAGTGAAAATGATGATGCTTGAAGGAGACAGGTGGGAAATGATTGAAGGAGACAGGAGATGATTGAAGCAGACAGAAGGAGACGTTTGAAAGACAGAGATAATGATGCTTGAAGGAGACAGGTGGAAATGATTGAAGGAGACAGGAGATGATGATTGAAGCAGACAGAAGGAGGCGATTGAAAGTGACAGATAATGATGCTTGAAGGAGACAGGTGGAAATGATTGAAGAGACAGAGAGATGATGATTGAAGCAGACAGAAGGAGAAAGATTGAAAGTGACAATGATGCTTTGAAGAGACAGGTGGAAACGATTGAACGAGACAGGAGATGATGATTGAAGCAGACAGAAGGAGGCGAAAAGTGACATAATGATGCTTGAAGGAGACAGGTGGAAAGATTGAAGGAGACAGATGACATGATTGAAGCAGACAGAAGGAGGATTGAAAGTGACAATGATGCTTGAAGGAGACAGGTGGAAATGATTGAAGGAGACAGGAGAAGATGATTGAAGCAGACAGAAGGAGGCGGATTGAAAGTGACAAATGATGCTTGAAGGAGACAGGTGAAACGATTGAAGGAGACAGGAGAAGATGATTGAAGAGACAGAAGGAGGCGTTTGAAAGTGACAATAATGATGCTTGAAGGAGACAGGTGGAAACGATTGAAGGAGACAGGAGATGATGATTGAAGCAGACAGAAGGAGGCGATTGAAAGTGACAAAGTGACATGATGCTTGAAGGAGACAGGTGGAAAACGATTGAAGGAGACAGGAGAAGATGATTGAAGGAGACAGAAGGAGGCGATTGAAAGTGACAATGATGCTTGAAGGAGACAGGTGGAAATGATTGAAGGAGACAGGAGAAGATGATTGAAAGCAGACAGAAGGAGGCATTTGAAAGTGACAATGATGCTTGAAAGGAGACAGGTGGAAACGATTGAAGGAGACAGGAGATGATGATTGAAGCAGACAGAAGGAGGAGATTGAAAAGAGATAATGATGCTTTGAAGGATCAGGTGAAATGATTGAAGGAGACAGGAGATGATGTTTGAAGCAGACAGAAGGAGGCGATTGAAAGTGACAATGATGCTTGAAGATTCAGGTGGAAATGATTGAAGGAGACAGGAGATGATGATTGGAAGCAGACAGAAGGAGGCGATTGAAAGTGACAATGATGCTTGAAGGAGACAGGGTGGAAACGATTGAAGGAGACAGGAGATGATGATTGAAGCAGATAGAAGGAGGATTGAAAGTGACAGATAATGATGCTTGAAGGAGACAGGTGGAAAAGATTGAAGGAGACAGATGAGAGATGATTGAAGCAGACAGAAGGAGGCGATTGAAAGTGATAATGATGCTTGAAGGATTCAGGGTGGGAAACGATTGGAAGGAGACAGGAGGCGATGATTGAAGCAGAAGGAGGCGATTGAAATTGATTGGATAATGATGCTTGAAGGAGAGACAGGTGGAAACGATTGAAGGAGACAGGAAGATGATGGATTGGCTAGACAGAAGGAGGCGTTTGAAAGTGAAAATGATGCTTGAAGGAGACAGGTGGAAAAAGATTGAATGAGACAGGAGAAGATGATTGTGCAGACAGAAGGAGACGAGTGAAAGTGAGAGATAATGCTTGAAGGAGACAGGTGGGAAAGATTGAAGGAGACAGAGATGATGATTGAAGCAGACAGAAGGAGACGATTGAAGGTGACAATGATGCTTGAAGAGACAGGTGGAAACGATTGAAGGAGACAGGGAGAAGATGATTGAAGCAGACAGAAGGAGGCGATTGAAAGTGACAATGATGATGCTTTGAAAGGAGACAGGTGGAAATGATTGAAACGAGGAGACAGGAGATGATGGATTGAAAGACAGAAGGGAGGCGTTTGAAAGTGACAGATAATGATGCTTGAAGGAGACATGTGGAAACGATTGAATGAGACAGGAGATGATGATTGAAGCAGACAGAAGGAGGCGATTGAAAGTGACAATGATAATGCTTGAAGGAGACAGGTGGAATGATTGAAGGAGACAGGAGATGATGATTGAAGCAGACAGAAGGAGGCGATTGAAAGTGACAGATAATGATGCTTGAAGGAGACAGGTGGAAACGATTGAAGGAGACAGGAGAAGATGATTGAAGCAGACAGAAGGAGGCGATTGAAAGTGACAATGATGCTTGAAGGAGACAGGTGGAAACGATTGAAGGAGACAGGAGATGATGATTGAAGCAGACAGAAGGAAAGGATTGAAAGTGATGATGATGATGCTTTGGAGACAGGGATGCGATTGAAGGAGACAGGAGAAGGATGATTGAAGAGACAGAAGGAGGCGGATTGAAAGGACAGATAATGACGAAGGAGACAGGGGAAACGATTGAAGGAGACAGGAGATGATGATTGAAGCAGACAGAAGGAGGCGAAATGAAAGACAGATAATGATGCTTGAATATATAGGTGGAAAGATTGAAGGAGACAGGAGAAGATGATTGAAGCAGACAGAAGGAGGCGGATTGAAAGTGAAAATGATGCTTGAAGGAGACAGGTGGGAAATGATTGAAGGAGACAGGAGATGATGATTGAAGCAGACAGAAGGAGGCGATTGAAAGTGACAGATACGATGCTTGAAGGAGACAGGTGGGAAACGATTGAAGGAGAGGAGATGATGATTGAAGCAGACAGAAGGAGGAGATTGAAAGTGAGATAATGATGCTTGAAGGAGACAGGGAAACGATTGAAGGAGACAGGAGATGATGATTGAAAGAAGAGGCGATTGAAAAGTGAAAGATAATGATGCTTGAAGGACAGGTGGAAACGATTGAAGGAGACAGAGATGATGATTGAAGCAGACAGAAGGAGGCGATTGAAAGTGACAATGATGCTTGAAGGAGACAGGTGGAAATGATTGAAGGAGACAGGAGAAGATGATTGAAGCAGACAGAAGGAGGCGAATGAAAGTGACAAATGATGCTTGAAGGAGACAGGTGGAAACGATTGAAGGAGACAGGAGATGAGATGATTGAAGCAGACAGAAGGAGGCGTTTGAAAGTGATAATGATGCTTGAAGGAGACAGGTGGAAATGATTGAAGGAGACAGGAGATGATGATTGAAGCAGACAGAAGGAGGCGATTGAAAGTGAGAGAAATGATGCTTGAAGGAGACAGGAAAATGATTGAAGGAGACAGGAGATGATGATTGAAGCAGACAGAAGGAGGCGATTGAAAGTGACAAATGATGCTTGAAGGAGACAGGTGGAAACGATGGAAGGAGACAGGAGAGGATGATTGAAGCAGACAGAAGGAGGCGATTGAAAGTGACAATGGTGCTTGAAGGAGACAGGTGGAAACGATTGAAGGAGACAGGAGATGATGATTGATGCAGACAGATTGAGGCGATTGAAAGTGACAATGATGCTTGAAGGATTCAGGTGGAAACGATTGTAGGAGACAGGAGATGATGATTGAAGCAGACAGAAGGAGGCGATTGAAAGTAAAAAAGTGATGCTTGAAGGAGACAGGTGGAAACGATTGAAGGAGACAGGAGATGATGATTGAAGCAGACAGAAGGAGGCGATTGAAAGTGACAATGATGCTTGAAGGAGACAGGTGGAAACGATTGAACGAGACAGGAGATGATGATTGAAGCAGACAGAAGGACAGATAATGAAAAGGAGACAATTGAAGGAAAATGATGACATTGAAAGTGGAAACGATTGAAGGAAATGACAAGGAGATGATGATTGAAGCAGACAGAAGGAGGCGATTGAAAGTGACAGATAATGATGCTTGAAGGAGACAGGTGGAAACGATTGAAGGAGACAGGAGATGATGATTAAAAGACAGAAGAGGCGATTGAAAGTGACAAGATGATGCTTGAAGGAGATAGGTGGAAACGATTGAAGGAGACAGGAGAAGATGATTGAAGCAGACAGAAGGAGGCGATTGAAAGTGACAGATAATGATGTTTGAAGACAGGTGGAAACGATTGAAGGAGACAGAGATGATGATTGAAGCAGACAGAAGGAGGATTGAAAGTGACAAGGATGCTTGAAGGAGACAGGTGGGAAACGATTGAAGGAGACAGGGAGATGATGATTGAAGCAGACAGAAGGAGGAGATTGAAAGTGACAGATAATGATGCTTAAGGAGACAGGTGGAAACGATTGAAGGAGACAGGAGATGATGATTGAAGGAGACAGAAGGAGGAGATTGAAAGTGACAGATAATGATGCTGAAAGAGACAGGTGGAAACGATTTTGAAGGAGACAGAGATGATGATTGAAGCAGACAGAAGGAGGATTGAAAGTGACAATGATGCTTGAAGGAGACAGGTGGAAACGATTGAAGGAGACAGGAGAAGATGATTGAAGCAGACAGAAGGAGGCGATTGAAAGTGACAATGATGCTTGAAGGAGACAGGTGGAAACGATTGAAGGAGACAGGAGAAGATGATTGAAGCAGACAGAAGGAGGCGATTGAAAGTGACAATGATGCTTGAAGGAGACAGGTGGAAACGATTGAAGGAGACAGGAGATGATGATTGAAGCAGACAGAAGGAGGCGATTGAAAGTGACAATGATGCTTGAAGGAGACAGGTGGAAACGATTGAAGGAGACAGGAGATGATGATTGAAGCAGACAGAAGGAGGCGATTGAAAGTGACAATGGTGCTTGAAAGAGACAGGTGGGAACGATTGAAGGAGGAGCCAGGAGAAGATGATTGAAGCAGACAGAAGGAGGGCGATTGAAAGTGACAGATAATGATGCTTGAAGGAGACAGGTGGAAAACGATTGAAGGAGACAGGAGAAGATGATTGAAGACAGAAGGGGAGGCAATTGAAAGTGACAAATGATGCTTGAAGGAGACAGGTGAAACGATTGAAGGAGACAGGAGATGATGATTAGAAGCAGACAGAAGGAGGGATTGAAAGTGACAATGATGCTTGAAGGAGACAGGTGGAAACGATTGAAGGAGACAGGAGATGATGATTGAAGGAGACAGAAGGAGGCGATTGAAAGTGACAGATAATGATGCTTGAAGGAGACAGGTGGAAACGATTGAAGGAGACAGGAGATGATGATTGAAGCAGACAGAAGGAGGCGATTGAAAGTGACAATGATGCTTGAAGGATTCAGGTGGAAACGATTGAAGGAGACAGGAGATGATGATTGAAGCAGACAGAAGGAGGCGATTGAAAGTGACAATGATGCTTGAAGGATTCAGGTGGAAACGATTGAAGGAGACAGGAGATGATGATTGAAGCAGACAGAAGGAGGCGATTGAAAGTGACAATGATGCTTGAAGGAGACAGGTGGAAACGATTGAAGGAGACAGGAGAAGATGATTGAAGCAGACAGAAGGAGGCGATTGAAAGTGACAATGATGCTTGAAGGAGACAGGTGGAAACGATTGAACGAGACAGGAGATGATGATTGAAGCAGACAGAAGGAGGCGATTGAAAGTGACAATGATGCTTGAAGGAGACAGGATGAACGATTGAAGGAGACAGGAGAAGATGATTGAAGCAGACAGAAGGAGGCGATTGAAAGTGACAATGATGCTTGAAGGAGACAGGTGGAAACGATTGAAGGAGACAGGAGATGATGATTGAAGCAGACAGAAGGAGGCGATTGAAAGTGACAGATAATGATGCTTGAAGGAGACAGGTGGAAAAGATTGAAGGAGACAGGAGATGATGATTGAAGCAGACAGAAGGAGGCGATTGAAAGTGACAGATAATGATGCTTGAAGGAGACAGGTGGAAACGATTGAAGGAGACAGGAGAGGATGATTGAAGCAGACAGAAGGAGGCGAATGAAAGTGACAGATAATGATGCTTGAAGGAGACAGGTGGAAAAGATTGAAGGAGACAGATGATGATGATTGAAGCAGACAGAAGGAGGCGATTGAAAGTGACAATGATGCTTGAAGGAGACAGGTGGAAACGATTGAAGGAGACAGGAGATGATGATTGAAGCAGACAGAAGGAGGCGATTGAAAGTGACAGATAATGATGCTTGAAGGAGACAGGTGGAAAAGATTGAAGGAGACAGATGATGATGATTGAAGCAGACAGAAGGAGACGATTGAAAGTGACAATGATGCTTGAAGGAGACAGGTGGAAACGATTGAAGGAGACAGGAGATGATGATTGAAGCAGACAGAAGGAGGCGATTGAAAGTGACAGATAATGATGCTTGAAGGAGACAGGTGGAAACGATTGAAGGAGACAGGAGATGATGATTGAAGCAGACAGAAGGAGGCGATTGAAAGTGACAATGATGCTTGAAGGAGACAGGTGGAAACGATTGAAGGAGACAGGAGATGATGATTGAAGCAGACAGAAGGAGGCGATTGAAAGTGATAATGATGCTTGAAGGAGACAGGTGGAAACGATTGAAGGAGACAGGAGATGATGATTGAAGCAGACAGAAGGAGGCGATTGAAAGTGACAGATAATGATGCTTGAAGGAGACAGGTGGAAACGATTGAAGGAGACAGGAGATGATGATTGAAGCAGACAGAAGGAGGCGATTGAAAGTGACAATGATGCTTGAAGGAGACAGGTGGAAACGATTGAAGGAGACAGGAGAAGATGATTGAAGCAGACAGAAGGAGGCGATTGAAAGTGACAGATAATGATGCTTGAAGGAGACAGGTGGAAACGATTGAAGGAGACAGGAGATGATGATTGAAGCAGACAGAAGGAGGCGATTGAAAGTGACAATGATGCTTGAAGGAGACAGGTGGAAACAATTGAACGAGACAGAAGATGATGATTGAAGCAGACAGAATGAGTCGATTGAAAGTGACAATGATGCTTGAAGGATTCAGGTGGAAACGATTGAAGGAGACAGGAGATGATGATTGAAGACAGAAGAAGGAGGCGATTGAAAGTGACAATGATGCTTGAAGGAGACAGGTGGAAAATGATTGAAGGAGACAGGAGATGATGATTGAAGCAGACAGAAGGAGGCGATTGAAAGTGAAGAAATGATGCTTGAAGGAGACAGGTGGAAACGATTGAAGGAGACAGGAGATGATGATTGAAGCAGACAGAAGGAGGCGATTGAAAGACAGAAATGATGCTTGAAGGAGACAGGTGGAAAAGATTGAAGGAGACAGGAGAGGATGATTGAAGCAGACAGAGGGAAGCGATTGAAAGTGACAATGATGCTTGATGGAGACAGGTGGAAACGATTGAACGAGACAGGAGATGATGATTGAAGCAGACAGAAGGAGGCAATTTAAAGTGACAATGATGCTTGAAGGATTCAGGTGGAATCGATTGAAGGAGACAGGAGATGATGATTGAAGCAGACAGAAGGAGGCGATTGAAAGTGAAAATGATGCTTGAAGGAGACAGGTGGAAACGATTGAAGGAGACAGGAGATGATGATTGAAGCAGACAGAAGGAGGCGATTGAAGGTGACAATGATGCTTGAAGGAGACAGGGAAACGATTGAACGAGACAGGAGATGATGATTGAAGCAGACAGAAGGAGGCGATTGAAAGTGACAATGATGCTTTGAAGGAGACAGGTGGAAACGATTGAAGGAGACAGGAGATGATGATTGAATCAGACAGAAGGAGGCATTGAAAGTGACAAATGATGCTTGAAGGAGACAGGTGGAAACGATTGAACGAGACAGGAGATGATGATTGAAGCAAAACAGAAGGAGGCGATTGAAGATGATTGAAGATAATGATGCTTGAAGGAGACAGGTGGGAAAGATTGAAGGAGACAGGAGATGATGATTGAAGCAGACAGAAGGGAGGCGATTGAAAGTGACAGATAATGATGCTTGAAGGAGACAGGTGGAAATGATTGAAGGAGACAGAGAGATGATGATTGAAGCAGACAGAAGGAGGCGATTGAAAGTGAAAAGATGCTTGAAGGAGACAGGTTGGAAACGATTGAAGGAGACAGGAGATGATTGAAATAGACAGAAGGAGGCGATTGAAAGTGACAATGATGCTTGAAGGAGACAGGTGGAAACGATTGAAGGAGACAGAGATGATGATTGAAGCAGCATGAAGGAGGCGATTGAAAGTGACAATGATGCTTGAAGGAGACAGGTGGAAACGATTGAAGGAGACAGGAGAAGATGATTGAATCAGACAGAAGGAGGCTTGAAAGTGATAGATAAATGATGCTTGAAGGAGACAGGGGAACGATTGAAGAGACAGATGAAGATTGAAGCAGACAGAAGGAGTTATTGAAAGTGACAGAAATGATGCTTGAGGAGACAGGATGGAAATGATTGAAGGAGACAGGAGAAGATGATTGAAGACAGAAGAGGGCGATTGAAAGTGACAGATAATGATGCTTGAAGGAGACAGGTGAAAACGATTGAAGGAGACAGAGATGATGATTGGAAGGATAGAAGGAGGCGATTGAAAGACAGATAATGATGCTTGAAGGAGACAGGTGGAAACGATTGAAGGAGACAGAGAGGATGATTGAAGCAGAGAAGTGGAGGGAATGGAAAGTGACAGATAATGATGCTTGAAGGAGACAGGTGAAAATGATTGAAGGAGACAGGTAGATGATTGAAGCAGACCCGAAGGAGGCGATTGAAAGGACAATGATGCTTGAATGATTCAGGTGGAAATGATTGAAGGAGACAGAGAAGATGATTGAAGAGACAGAAGGAGTGTTTTGAAAGTGACAATGCTGAAGGATCTAGGTGGAAACGATTGAAGGAGACAGGGAGATGAGATTGAAGCAGACAGAAGGAGGCAAGGATTGAAAGTGACACGATGCTTGAAGGAGACAGGTGGGAAACGATTGAAGGAGACAGAGAAGACATTGAAGCAGACAGAAGGAGGCGCTTTTTCGAAAGTGACAAATGATGCGAAGGAGACAGGTGGAAACGATTGAAGGAGCAGGTGAGACTAGGAGAAGATGATTGAAGGAGACAGAGAGGAGGATTGAAAGGACAGACAATGATGCTTGAAAGAGGAAGGATTGAAAGACAAGATGAAGATGCTTGAAGGAGACAGGGAAACGATACTGAAAGGAGAGGAGAAACGATGATTGAGACAGGAGATGATGACAGAAGGAGTATGATTGAAAGTGACAAATGATGTTGAAGGAGAGAGGTGGAAATGATTGAAGGAGACAGGAGATGATGATTGAAAGCAGACAGAAGGAGGCATTGAAAGACAAATGGATGCTTGAAGGAGACAGGTGGAAACGATTGAAGGAGACAGGAGATGATGATTGAAGCAGACAGAAGGAGGACGATTGATAGATAATGATGCTTGAAGGAGACAGGTGGAAATGATTGAAGGAGACAGATGATGATGATTGAAGCAGAGACAGAAGGATAAGGATTGAAAGACAATGATGCTTGAAGGAGACAGGTGGAAATGATTAGAAGGGAGAAGCGATTAGAGATGAAGTGATTGAAAGAGATAGAAAGGGAGGTGTCGATTGAAAGTGACAATGGTGCTTGAAGGAGACAGGTGGAAACGATTGAAGGAGACAGGAGATGATGATTGAAGACAGAATGAGGATTGGAGTGACAATGATGTTTGAAGGAGACAGGGTGGAAACGATAGGAAGGAGACAGGAGATGATGATTAAAGCAGACAGAAGGAGGCGATTGAAAGACAATGATGTTTGAAGGATTCAGGGTGGAAACGATTGAAGGAGACAGGAGATGATGATTGAAATAGACAGAACGAGGCGATTGAAATGACAATGATGCTTTGAAGGTGAGGACAGGTGAAACGATTGGAACGAGATTAGAGATGATGATTGAAGCAGACAGAAGGAGGCGATTGAAATTGATGGATGAGATGCTTGAAGGAGACAGGTGGAAACGATTGAAGGAGACAGGAGATGATGATTGAAGAGAGAAGGAGGCGATTGAAAGTGACAATGATGCTTGAAGGAGACAGGTGGAAATGATTGAAGGAGACAGGAGATGATGATTGAAGCAGACAGAAGGAGGCGATTGAAAGGACAATGATGCTTGAAGGAATCAGGTGGAAACGATTGAAGGAGACAGGAGATGATGATTGAAGCAAGGAAGGAGGATTGAAAGTGACAATGATGCTTGAAGGAGACAGGTGGAAATGATTGAAGGAGACAGGGAGATGATGATTGAAGCAGATAGAAGGAGGCGATTGAAAGTGATAATGATGCTTGAAGGAGACAGGTGGAAAGATTGAGGAGACAGGAGATGATGATTGGAAGCAGACAGAAGGAGGCGATTGAAAGTGATAGATAATGATGCTTGAAGGAGACAGGTGGAAACGATTGAAGGAGACAGGAGGATGACTTTGAAGTAGACAGAAGGAGGCGATTGAAAGTGACAATGATGCTTGAAGGAATCAGGTGGAAAATGATTGAAGGAGACAGGAGATATGATTGAAGACAGAAGGAGGCAAGGATTGAAAGACAGATAATGATGCTTGAAGGAGGACAGGTGGAAAAGATTAGCAAGACAGAGATGATGAATAAAGCAGACAGAATGAGGCGAGATTGAAAGTGATAATGATGCTTGAAGGAGACAGGTGGAAACGATTGAAGGAGACAGAGATGATGATTGAAGCAGGATAGAATGAGGCGATTGAAAGACAGATAATGATGCTTGGAAGGAGACTGGTGGAAACGATTGAAGGAGACAGGAGGATGATCAAGCAGACAGAATGAGGCGATTGAAAGGACAGGATAATGATGCTTGAAGGAGAGACCGGTGGAAAAGATTGAAGGAGACAGGAGATGATGATTGAAACAAAATAGGAAGGAGGCGTCTGAAAGTGATAAATGATGCTTGAAGGAGACAGGTGGAAACGATTGAAGGAGACAGGAGAAGATGATTGAAGCAGACAGAAGGAGAAGATTAGAAAGTGACAGATAATGACTTGAAGGAGACAGGTGGAAACGATTGAAGGAGACAGGAGATGATGATTGAAGCAGACAGAAGAGGCGATTGAAAGTGACAATGATGCTTGAAGGAGACAGGTGGAAACGATTGAAGGAGACAGGAGAAGATGATTGAAGCAGACAGAAGGAGGCGATTGAAAGTGACAAGGATGCTTGAAGGAGACAGGTGGAAATGATTGAAGGAGACAGGGAGAAGATGATTAAGAGAGTAGAAGGAGGCGATTGAAAGACAAATGACAGATAAAGGAGACAGGGAAACGATTGAAGGAGACAGGAGATTGTGAAAAAAGACAGAAGGAGAACGGAAAGTGAAATGATTGAAGGAGACAGGTGGAATGATTGGCAGAAGGAGATTGCGATTGAAGGAGACGTGAAAATGATGCTTGAAGGAGACAGGGTGGAAACGATTGAAGGAGACAGGAGATGATGATTAAGAGACAGAAGGAGGAAGATTGAAAGTGACAGATAACAGATGTCGGAAGGAGACAGGGAAAGATTAAGGAGACAGAGATGACATTAAAGCTAAGACAGAAGGAGGCGATTGAAAGTGACAATGATGCTAAGGAGACAGGTGGAAACGATTGAAGAGACAGGTGGGAAAATGAGGAAAGAGCAGGAGATGAGATTGAAGCAGACAGGAGGTGACTGAGTGACAACATGCTGGAAGGAGACAGGTGGAAATGATTGAAGGAGACAGGAGAAGATGATTGAAGCTAAGAGCAGAAGGAGGAAGTTTGAAAGGACAATGATGCTTGAAGGAGACAGGTGGAAACGATTGAACGACAGGAGATGATGATTGAAGCAGACGATTGAAAGTGACAATGATGCTTGAAGGAGACAGGTGGAAACGATTGAAGAGACAGGAGATGATGATTGAAGCAGACAGAAGGAGGCGATTGAAAGTGACAATGATGCTTGAAGGAGACAGGTGGAAACGATTGAAGGAGACAGGAGATGATGATTGAAGCAGACAGAAGGAGGCGAAGGAAAGACAGATATTGGTGCTTGAAGGAGACAGATGGAAAATGATTGAAGGAGACAGAAGATTGAAAAAGCAGACAGAAGGGGGCGATTGAAAGTGAGAGAAATGATGCTGACAATGATGATTGAAGGAGACAGGTGATGATTGAAACAGAAGGAGGCGATTGAAGGAGACAAGGAGAGAGGATGATTGAAGCAGACAGAAGGAGGCGATTGAAAGTGACAATGATGATTGAAGGAGACAGGTGAAACGATTGAAGGGGACAGAGATGATGATTGAAGGAGACAGAAGGAGGGATTAAAAGTGACAGATAATGATGCTTGAAGGAGACAGATGGAAACGATTGAAGGAGACAGGAGATGATGGGACAGAAGGAGGCGAATAGAAAGTGACAGATAATGATGCTTGAAGGATTCAGGTGGGGAAAGATTGAAGGAGACAGAATGATGATTGAAGCAGACAGAAGGAGGCGATTGAAAGTGACAATGATGAGAAGGAGACAGGTGGAAACGATTGAAGGAGACAGGAGAAGATGATTGAAGCAGACAGAAGGAGGCGATTGAAAGTGACAATAATGATGCTTGAAGGAGACAGGTGGAAACGATTGAAGGAGACAGGGAGAGATGATTGAAGCAGACAGAAGGAGGCAAGCATTGAAAGTGATAATGATGATTGAAGGAGACAGGTGGAAACGATTGAAGGAGACAGGAGATGATGATTAAAACAGACAGAAGAGGCGATTGAAAGTGACAATAATGATGCTTGAAGGGAGACAGGTGGAGAAAGGAGACAGGAGATGATGATTGAAGCAGACAGAAGGAGGCGATTGAAAGATAATGATGCTTGAAGGAGACAGGTGGAAACGATTGAAGGAGACAGGAGATGATGATTGAAGCAGACAGAAGGAGGCGATTGAAAGTGACAATGATGCTTGAAGGAGACAGGTGAAACGATTGAAGGAGACAGGAGATGATGATTGAAGCAGACAGAAGGAGACGGATTGAAAAGTGACAATGATAATGATGCTTGAAGGTGGGAAACGATTGAAGGAGACAGGGAGATGATGATTGAAGCAGACAGAAGGAGGCGATTGAAAGTGACAATAATGATGCTTAAGGATTGAAGGAAACGATTGAAGGGACAGGAAATGATTGAACAAGGAGACAGAGGACAATGATTTGAAGAGACAGAAAGAAGGAGACAGGAGATGATGATTGAAGCAGACATAGAAGGAGGCGATTGAAAGTGATGATGCTTGAAGGAGAGGAGGAAACGATTGAAGGAGACAGGAGATGATGATTGAAGCAGACAGAAGGAGGCGATTGAAAGTGAAAATGATGCTTGAAGGAGACAGGTGGAAACGATTGAAGGAGACAGGAGATGATGATTGAAGCAGACAGAAGGAGGCGATTGAAAGTGACAAATGATGCTTGAAGGAGACAGGTGGGAAATGATTGAAGGAGACAGGAGATGATGATTGAAGCAGACAGAAGGAGGCGATTGAAGAAAGTGACAGATAATGATGCTTGAAGGAGACAGGTCGAAACGATTGAAGGAGACAGATGATGATGATTGAAGCAGACAGAAGGAGGCGATTTAAAGTGACAATGATGCTTGAAGGAGACAGGTGGAAACGATTGAAGGAGACAGGAGATGATGATTGAAGCAGACAAGGATTGAAAGTGACAATGATGCTTGAAGGAGACAGGTGGAAACGATTGAAGGAGACAGGAGATGATGATTGAAGCAGACAGAAGGAGGCGATTGAAAGTGACAATAATGATGCTTGAAGGAGACAGGTGGAAAACGATTGAAGGAGACAGGAGAAGGATGATTGAAGCGATTGATTGAAGCAGAAAGGAGATAATGATGCTTGAAGGAGACAGGTGGAAATGATTGAAGGAGACAGGATGATGATTGAAGCAGACAGAAGGAGGACATTGAAAGTGACAATGATGCTTGAAGGAGACAGGTGGAAACGATTGAAGGAGACAGGAGATGATGATTGAGGACAGAAGGAGAAAGTGACAGACAATGATGCTTGAAGAGACAGGTGGAAACGATTGAAGGAGACAGGAGATGATGATTGAAGCAGACAGAAGGAGGCGATTGAAAGTGACAATGATGCTTGAAGGAGACAGGTGAAACGATTGAAGGAGACAGGAGATGATGATTGAAGCAGACAGAAGGAGGCGATTGAAAGTGACAAAATGATGCTTGAAGGAGACAGGTGGAAATGATTGAAGGAGACAGGAGATGATGATTGAAGCAGACAGAAGGAGGCGATTGAAAGTGACAATAATGATGTGAAGGAGACAGGTGGAAACGATTGAATGAGACAGGAGATGAAGATTGAAGCAGACAGAAGGAGGCGATTGAAAGTGACAATGATGCTTGAATGAGACAGGTGGAAACGATTGAAGGAGACAGGAGATGATGATTGAAGCAGACAGAAGGAGGAGATTGAAAGTGACAAAATGATGCTTGAAGGAGACAGGTGGAAATGATTGAAGGAGACAGGAGATGATGATTGAAGCAGACAGAAGGAGGCGATTGAAAGTGATGATGCTTGAAGGAGACAGGTGGAAACGATTGAAGGAGACAGGAGATGATGATTGAAGCAGACAGAAGGAGGGCGATTGAGAGTGACAGATAATGATGCTTGAAGGAGACAGGTGGAAACGATTGAAGGAGACAGGAGATGATGATTGAAAGAGACAGGTGGGAAATGACAGAAGGAGCGATTGAAAGTGACAATGATGCTTGAAGGAGACAGGTGGAAACGATTGAAGGAGACAGAGATGATGATTGAAAGTGAGACAGAAGGAGGCGACAGGAATGATGATTGAAGACAATGATGCTTGAAGGAGACAGGTGGAAACGATTGAAGGAGACAGGAGATGATGATTGAAGCAGACAGAAGGAGGCGATTGAAAGTGACAATGATGCTTGAAGGAGACAGGGTGGAAACGATTGAAGGAGACAGGAGATGATGATTGAAGCAGACAGAAGGAGGCGATTGAAAGTGACAATGATGCTTGAAGGAGACAGGTGGAAACGATTGAAGGAGACAGGAGATGATGATTGAAGCAGACAGAAGGGGGCGATTGAAAGTGACAGATAATGATGCTTGAAGGAGACTGGTGGAAATGATTGAAGGACACAGGAGAGGATGATTGAAGCAGACAGAAAGAGGCGATTGAAAGTGACAATGATGCTTGAAGGAGACAGGTGGAAACGATTAGAAGGAGACAGGAGATGATGATTGAAGCAGACAGAAGGAGGCGATTGAAAAGTGACAATGATGCTTGAAGGAGACAGGTGGAAACGATTGAAGGAGACAGGAGATGATGATTGAAGCAGACAGAAGGAGGCGATTGAAAGTGACAATGATGCTTGAAGGAGACAGGTGGAAATGATTGAACAGAGACAGGAGATGATGATTGAAGCAGACAAAAGGAGGCGATTGAAAGTGACAGATAATGATGCTTGAAGGAGACAGGTGGAAACGATTGAAGGAGACAGGAGATGATGATTGAAGCAGACAGAAGGAGGCGATGAAAGTGACAATGATGCTTGAAGGAGACAGGTGGAAACGATTGAAGGAGACAGGAGATGATGATTGAAGCAGACAGAAGGAGGCGATTGAAAGTGACATAATGATGCTTGAAGGAGACAGGTGGAAACGATTGAAGGAGACAGAGATGATGATTGAAGCAGACAGAAGGAGGCGATTTTGAAAGTGACAATGATGCTTGAAGGAGACAGGTGGAAACGATTTGAAGGAGACAGGAGATGATGATTGAAGCAGACAGAAGGAGGCGATTGAAAGTGACAAATGATGCTTGAAGGAGACAGGTGGAAATGATTGAAGGAGATAGGAGATGAGGATTGAAGAAGATAAAGGAGGCGATTGAAAGCAGGATAATGATGGAAGGAGAGAAGGGAAATGATTGAAGGAGATATGATGATGATTGAAGCAGACAGAAGGAGGTTGATTGAAAGTGACAATGATGCTTGAAGGAGACAGGTGGAAATGATTGAAGGAGACGGAGATGATGATTGAAGCAGACAGAGGAGGCGATTGAAGGTGACAATAATGATGCTTGAAGGAGACGGTGGAAACGGATTGAAGGACAGGAGATGATGATTGGAAACCAGACAGAAGGAGGCGCGATTGATGACAATGATTCTTAGATGAGAGAGGTGGAAATGATTGAAGGAGACAGGAAGATGATTGAAGCAAGACAGAAGGAGGCGTTTGAGAAAGTGACAATGATGCTTGGAAGGAGAAACGATTGAACAGGACAGGAGAATGATTGAAGGAGACAAAGGAGATTAGATGATGCTGAAGGAGACAGAAACGATTGAAGGGAGACAGGAGATGATGATTGAAGTGAAGAGGCAAAGTGACAATGATGCTTGAAGGAGACAGGTGGAAACGATTGAGGAGACAGATGATGATGATTGAAGCAGACAGAAGGAGACGATTGAAAGTGACAATGATGCTTGAAGGACAGGTGGAAACGATTGAAGGAGACAGGAGATGATGATTGAAGCAGACAGAAGGAGGCGATTGAAAGTGACAATGATGCTTGAAGGAGACAGGTGGAAACGATTGAGACAGGAGATGATGATTAAAACAGACAGAAGGAGACGATTGAAAGTGACAATGATGCTTGAAAGAGACAGGTGAAACGATTGAAGGAGACAGGAGATGATGATTGAAGGACAGACAGAAGGAGGCGATTGAAAGTGACAGATAATGATGCTTGAAGGAGACAGGTGGAAACGATTGAAGGAGACAGATGATGATGATTGAAGCAGACAGAAGGAGGCGATTGAAAGTGACAATGATGCTTGAAGGAGACAGGTGGAAACGATTGAAGGACGAGAGATGATGATTGAAGCAGACAGAAGGGGGCAGGAGATGATGATTAAAGAAGCAGACAGAAGGAATGATGATGACAGATAATGATGCTTGAAGGAGACAGGTGGAAAAGATTGAACGAGACAGGAGATGATGAATTAAAAGCAGACAGAAGGAGTCGGGACTGAAAGTGAGAGATAATGATGCTTAGAAGACCCAGGTGGAAAAGATTGAAGGAGACAGATGATGATGATTGAAGCAGACAGAAGGAGGCGATTGAAAGTGACAATGATGCTTGGAGGGAAACGATTGAAGAGACAGGGTGGAAATGAGGAGGCGTTGAAGAAAGTGACAGATAATGATGCTTGAAGGAGATGATGATTAGACGAGACAGACATGATGATTGGAGACAGAGGCGATTAAAAGTGACAGATAATGTCGAAGGAGACAGGTGGAAACGATTGAATGAGACGGAGAAGATGATTAAAGCAGACAGAAGGAGGCGATTGAAAGTGACAATGATGCTTGAAGGAGACAGGTGGAAATGATTGAAGGAGACAGGAGATGATGATTGAAGCAGACAGGAAGGAGGCGATTGAAAGTGACAGATAATGATGCTTGAAGGAGACAGTGGGAAAGGATTAGATGATGATGATTTAGAGAAGAGGCGATTGAAAGTGGAAAGATGCTTGAAAGGGACATTGGGAGACAGGAGATGAAGGAGACAGGATGATTGAAGCAGACAGAAGGAGGCGATTGAAAGTGACAATAATGATGGGAAGGAGACAGGTGGGAACGATTGAAGGAGACAGGACATGATTGGAACAGAAGGAGGCGAAACGAAATGATGATTGAAGGAGACAGGTGGAAACGATTGAAGGAGACAGAGAAGATGATTGGAAGCAGACAGAAGGAGACGTTTGAAAGTGACAATAATGATGCTTGAAGGACAGGTGGAAAAAGATTGAAGGAGATAATGATGATTGAAGCAGACAGAAGGAGGCGATTGAAGGTGACAATGATGCAGAAGGATGGTGGAAAACGATTAGAAGGAGACAGGAGATGATGATGAAGCAGAATTGAAGGAGGCGATTGAAAGTGACAATGATGCTTGAACGATTAGAAGGAGACAGGAAGATGATTGAAGCAGACAAGTGAAGGAGGCGATTTGAAAGTGACAATAATGATGCTTGAAGGAGACAGGTGGAAACGATTGAACGAGACAGGGGATGATGATTGAAGCAGACAGAAGGAGGGGATTGAAAGTGACATAATGATGCTTGAAGGAGACAAAGGTGGAAAGATTGGGAGACAGGAGATGATGATTGAAGCAGACAAGAAGGAGCGATTGAAAGTGACAATGATGCTTGAAAGAGACAGGTGAAATGATTGAAGGAGACAGGAGAGGATGATTGAAGCAGACAGAAGGAGGCGTTTGAAAGTGACAGATAATGATGCTTGAAGGAGATTGCAGGAAAGATGGGAATGATTGAAGGAGACAGATTGAAAGTGATGATTGAAGCAGGAAACGAGAAGGAGACGATTGAAAGTGACAATGATGCTTGAAGGAGACAGGTGGAAACGATTGAAGGAGACAGGAGATGATGATTGGAAGCAGACAGAAGGAGGCGATTGAAAAGGTGACAATGATGCTTGAAAGAGACAGGTGGGAAACGATTGAAGGAGACAGGAGATGATGATTGAAGCAGACAGAAGGAGGCGATTGAAAGTGACAGATAATGATGCTTGAAGGAGACAGGTGGAAACGATTGAAGGAGACAGGAGAAGATGATTGAAGCAGACAGAAGGAGGCGTTTGAAAGTGACAATGATGCTTGAAGGAGACAGGTGGAAACGATTGAAGGAGACAGGAGATGATGATTGAAGCAGACAGAAGGAGGATTGAAAAGATTCGATGTGAAGGCGTTAAGTGACAATAATGATGATGGAAACGATTGAAGGAGACAGGAGATGATGATTGAAACAGACAGAAGGAGGCGATAAGAAGTGACAATGATTCTTGGAGACAGGAAACGATTGAAGGAGACAGATGATGATGATTGAAGCAGACAGAAGGAGGCGATTGAAAGACAATGATGCTTGAAGGAGACAGGTGGAAACATTGAAGGAGACAGGAGATGATGATTGAAGCAGACAGAAGGGGCGATTGAAAGACAGATAATGATGCTGAAGGAGACAGGTGGAAACGATTGAAGGACACAGATGATGATTGAAGCGAACGACAGAAAGAGGCGATTGAAAGTGACAATGATGCTTGAAAGAGACAGGTGAAACGATTGAAGGAGACAGGAGATGGAAAGACAGATGATGATTGACAGATAATGATGCTTAGATAAGATGCTTGAGAGACAGGTGGGGAAAGATTGAAGGAGACAGGATGATGATTGAAGGAGACAGAAGGAAACGATTGAAAGAGACAATGCTTGAAGAGATGGGGACGATTGAAGACGGGATGATGATTGAAGCAGACGAAAGAGGCGATTGAAAGTGACGAATGATGCTTGAAGGAGACAGGTGGAAACGATTGAAGGAGACAGGAGATGATGATTAAAGCAGACAGAAGGAGGCGATTGAAAGTGACAGATAATGATGCTTGAAGAGACAGGTGGAAAACGATTGAAGGAGACAGGGGCGATGATGATTGAAGCAGACAGAGAAGGAGGTTGAAAGTGACAGATAATGATGCTTGAAGGAGACAGGTGGAAACGATTGAAGGAGACAGGAGATGATGATTGGAAGCAGACAGAAGGGGCGATTGAAAGTGATAATGATGCTTGAAGGAGACAGGTGAAACGATTGAAGGACACAGAGATGATGATTGAGCAGACAGAAGGAGGCGATTAAAAGTGACAATGATGCTTGAAGGAGACGGAAGGTGGAAACGATTGAAGGAGACAGGGAGATGATGATTAAAGCTGACAGAAGGAGGCGATTGAAAGTGACAATGATGCTTGAAGGAGACAGGTGGAAACGATTGAAGGAGACAGGGAGATGATGATTGAAGCAGACAGAAGGAGGCGATTGAAAGTGACAATGATGCTTGAAGGAGACAGGTGGAAACGATTGGAAGAGACAGGATGATGATTGAAAGACAGAAGGAGGCGATTGAAAGTGACAGATAATGATGCTTGAGGAGACAGGTGGAAAATGATTGAAGGACACAGGAGATGATGATTGAAGCAGACAGAAGGAGGCGATTGAAAGTGACAATGATGAAGGAGACAGGTGCAGGAAACGATTGAAGGAGACAGAGATGATGATTGAAGCAGACAGAAGGAGCGATTGAAAGTGACAATGATGCTTGAAGGAGACAGGTGGAAACGATTGAAGGAGACAGGAGATGATGATTGAAGCAGACAGAAGGAGGCGATTGAAAAGTGACAATAATGATGCTTGAATGAGAGACAGATTGGAAACGATTGAACGGAGACAGGAGATGATGATTGAAGCAGACAGAAGGAGGCGATTGAAAGTGACAATGATGAAGGAGACAGGTTGATTGAAGGAGACAGGAGATGATGATTGAAGCAGACAGAAGGAGGCAATTGAAAGTGACAGATAATGATGCTTGAAGACAGAGACAGGAAACGATTGAAGGAGACAGGAGAGGATGATTGAAGCAGACAGAAGGAGGCGATTGAAAGTGGATAATGATGATGCTTGAAGGAGACAGGTGAAACGATTGAAGGAGACAGGAGATGATGATTGAAGGAGACAGAAGGAGGCGATTGAAAGTGACAATGATGCTTGAAAGAGACAGGTGGAAACGATTGAAGGAGACAGGAGATGATGATTAAAGCAGACAGAAGGAGGCGATTGAAAGTGACAATGATGCTGAAGGAGACAGGTGAAAACGATTAAAGGAGACAGAGATGAAATGATTGAAGGAGATTGATGATGATGCTTGAAAGAGAGAGGTGGAAAAGAAGCGGAAGGAGACGAGATTGATTGAAGTAGACAAAGGAGGCGATGATGACAGATAATGATGCTTGAAGGAGACAGGAAACGATTGAAGGAGACAGGAATTGATTGAAACCTTAGACAGAAGGAGGCAGATTGACAGATGAAGACAGGTGGAAAAGATTGAAGGGAGACAGATGAGGAGGCGATTGAAAGTGACAATGATGCTTGAAGGAGACAGGTGGAAACGATTGAAGAGACAGGAGATGATGATTGAAACAGGAAGGAGGCGATGATGACGGGTGGAAACGATACCGATTGAAGGAGACAGGTAAACGATTGATGAGGCGATTGAAGGAAGGAGATTAGACAATGATGCTTGAAGGAGACAGGTGGAAACGATTGAAGGAGACAGGAGATGATGATTGAAGCAGACAGAAGGAGGCGATTGAAAGTGACAATAATGATGCTTGAAGGGAGACAGGTGGAAACGATTGAAGGACACAGAGAGGATGATTGAAGCAGACAGAAGGAGGCGATTGAAAGTGACAATGATGCTTGAAGGAGACAGGTGGAAACGATTGAAGAGACAGGGGATGATGATTGAAACAGAAAAGGGCGATTGAAAGTGACAATGATGCTTGAAGGAGACAGGTGGAAAAGATTCGAGGAGACAGGAGATGATGATTGAAGCAGACAGAAGGAGGCGATTGAAAGTGACAGATAATGATGCTTGAAGGAGACAGGTGGAAACGATTGAAGGAGACAGCGATGATGATTGAAGCAGACAGAAGGGAGGCGATTGAAAGTGACAATGATGCTTAAGGAGACACGGTGGAAACGATTGAAAGGACGACAGAGATGATGATTGAAGCAGACAGAAGGGCGATTGAAAAGTGACAGATAATGATGCTTGAAGGGAGACTGGTGGAAACGATTGAAGGAGACAGGAGATGATGATTGAAGCAGACAGAAAGGGGCGATTGAAAGTGACAATGATGCTTGAGAGGAGACAGGTGGAAACGATTGAAGGGAGACAGGAAACGATAGATGATTAAAAGAAGATGAAGGAGGCGATTGAGTGACAATGATGCTTGAAGGAGGCGATTAAGGAGACAGGAGATGATGATTGAAGCAGACAGAACGAGCGATTGAAAGTGACAGATAATGATGCTTGAAGGAGACAGGTGGGAAACGATTGAAGGAGACAGGAGATGATTGAAGCAGACAGAAGGAGGCGATTGAAAGTGACAGATAATGATGCTTAGAAGACCAGGTGGAAAAGATTGAAGGAGACAGGATGATGATGATTGAAGCAGACAGAAGGAGGCGATTGAAAGTGACAAAAAGATGCTTGCAAGGAGACGAGTGGAAACGATTGAAGGAGACAGGAGATGATGATTGAAGCAGACAGAAGGAGGCGATTGAAAGTGACAGATAATGATGCTTGAAGGAGACAGGTGGAAACGATTGAAGGAGACAGCAGATGATGATTGAAAGCAGACAGAAGGAGGCGATTGAAAGTGACAATGATGCTTGAAGGAGACAGGTGGAAAACGATTGAAGGAGACAGGAGATGATGATTGAAGCAGACAGAAGGAGGGGCGATTGAAAGTGACAGATGTGATGCTTTGAAGGAGACAGGTGGAAACGATTGAAGGAGACAGGGATGATGATTGAAAGCAGATGAAGGAGGCGATTAAGTGACAATGATGCTCAAGGAGACAGGTGGAAACGATTGAAGGAGACAGGAGATGATGATTGAATCTGACAGAAGGAGCGATTGAAAGTGACAATGATGCTTGAAGGAGACAGGTGGAAACGATTGAACTGAGACAGGAGATGATGATTGAAACCAAACAGAAGGAGGCGAATGAAAGTGACAGGATAATGATGCTTGAAGAAGGAGACAGGTGGAAAAAGATTGAAGGAGACAGATGCTGAGATGATTGAAGCAGGAGATGATGATTGGAAGCAGAAGGGAGGCAATTGAAAGTGACAATGATGCTTGGAGGAGACAGTGAAACGATTGAAGGAGACAGGAGAAGATGATTGGAAGCAGACAGAAGGAGGCGATTGAAAGTGACAGATAATGAAGGAGACAGGTGGAAACGATTGAAGGAGACAGGATGGAAACAGATTGAAGGGGATAATGAGAAGAGATGATTGAAAGAAACAGATGAGACAATTGAAAGTGACAAATGATGTTGAAGGACAGGTGGAAATTGAAGGAGACAGGAGATGATGATTGAAGGAGACAGAAGGAGGCGATTGAAAGGACAATGATTGAAGCAGGTGGAAACGATTTAAGGAGACAGGAGAAGATGATTGAAGGAGACAGGTGGAAAAGAGAAGGATGATGGATTGGCGATTGAAAGATAATGATGCTTGAAGGAGACAGGTGGAAACGATTGAAGGAGACAGGAGATGATGATTGAAGCAGACAGAAGGAGGCGATTGAAAGTGACAATGATGCTTGAAGGAGACAGGTAGAAACGATTGAAGGAGACAGGAGATGATGATTGAAGCAGACAGAAGGAGGCGATTGAAAGTGACAATGATGCTTGAAGGAGACAGGTGAAACGATTGAAGGAGACAGGAGATGATGATTGAAGCAGACAGAAGGAGGCTATTGAAAAGACAATGATGCTTCAAGGAGACAGGTGGAAACGATTGAAGGAGACAGGAGATGATGATTGAAGCGATTGAAAGCAGATGCTTACGAAGGAGGCGATTGAAAGTGACAGGAGATGATGCTTGAAGGAGACAGGTGGAAAAGATTGAAGGAGACAGATGATGATGATTGAAGCAGACAGAAGGAGGCGATTGAAAGTGACAATGATGCTTGAAGGAGACAGGGTGGAAACGATTGAAGGAGAAGAGATGATTGAAGCAGGAAGGAAAAAGTGACAATGATTTGAAGGAGACAGGTTGAATGATGCTTTGAAGACAGGTGGAAACGATTGACAGGATCATGATTGAAGCAGACAGACAGAAGGAGGCGATTGAAAAGTGACAGATAATGATGCTTGAAGCAGGGGCGAGACAGGTGGAAACGATGATGAAGGAGACAGGAGAAGGATGATTGAAACAATGATGCTTGGAGGATACAGGTGGAAACGATTGAAGGGGCAGGAGAAGATGATTAGATGACAGAAGGAGGCGTTTGAAAGTGACAATAATGATGAAGGAGACAGGTGGAAACGATTGAAGGAGACAGATGATGATGATTGAAGCAGACAGAAGGAGGCGATTGAAATGATGACAATGATGGAAGGACAGGTGGAAACGATTGAATGAGACAGAGATGATGATTGAAGCAGACAGAAGGAGGCGATTGAAGTGACAGATAATGATGAAGGAGACAGGTGGAAACGATTGAAGGGACAGACAGGTGATGATTGAAGGAGGCGATTGAAAGCGACAAGGAGGCGATTCAGAAACAGTGACAATGATGCTTGAAGGAGACAGGTGGAAACGATTGAAGGAGACAGGAGATGATGATTGAAACAGACAGAAGGGAGGCGATTGAAAGTGACAATGATGGCAAGAGGAGACGGGTGGAAACGATTGAACGAGACAGGAGATGATGATTGAAGCAGACAGAAGGAGGCGAATGAAAGTGACAGAAATGATGCTTAGCCTGATGCTTGAAGAGGATGATCGGGTGGAAACGATTGAACGAGACAGGGATGATGAAGTTAGCAGACAGAAGGAGGCGATTGAAATTGACAATGATGCTTGACAGATGATGATTGAAGGAGACAGGTGGAAAACGATTGAAGGAGGCGAGGAGATGATGATTGAAGCAGACAGAAGGAGAAATTGACAGATAATGATGCGATTGAAAGTGGAAGGTGACAGACGTGGAAAAACGATTGAAGGAGACAGGAGATGATGATTGGAAACTTTAGAAGGAGATTGAAAGTGACAATGATGCTGGAAGGAGACAGGTGGAAACGATTGAAGGAGACAGGAGATGATGATTGAAGCAGACAGAAGGAGGCGATTGAAAGACAGATAATGATGCTTGAAGGGAGACAGGTGAAACGATTGAAGGAGACAGGAGAGGATGATTGAAGTAGACAGAAGGAGGCGATTGAAAGTGACAATGAGCAAGGAGAGGTGAAACGATTGAAGGAGACAGATGATGATTGAGAAGCAGACAGAAGGAGGCGATTGAAAGTGACAATGATGCTTGAAGGAGACAGGTGGAAACGATTGAAGGAGACAGGAGATGATGATTGAAGCAGACAGAAGGAGGCGATTGAAAGACAATGATGCTTGAATGATGGAAAACGATTGAAGGAGACAGGATGATGATTGAAGCGATTTGAAGGAGACAAGGAGATGGAAACGATTGAAGGAGACAGAGATGATGATTAAAGCGATTGAAGGGAGTTGAAAGTGACAATAATGATGCTTGAAGGAGACAGGTGGAAACGATTGAAGGAGACAGAGAGATGATTGAAGCAGACGAAGGAGGGCGATTGAAAGTGACAATGATGCTTGAAGGAGACAGGTGGAAAAGATTGAAGGAGACAGGAGATGATGATTGAAGCAACAGACAGAGGCGATTGAAAGTGACAGATAATGATGGCAAGAAGGGGGTGGAAAAAGATTGAAGGAGACAGGAATGATGACAGAAGGAGGGCGATTGAAGGAGACAGGTGGAAACGATTGAAGGAGACAGGAGATGATGATTGAAGCAGACAGAAGGAGGCGATTGAAAGTGACAGATAATGATGCTTGAAGGAGACAAGGAAACGATTGAAGGAGACAGGAGATGATGATTGAAGCAGACAGAATGAGGCGATTGAAAGTGACAGATAATGATGCTTGAAGGAGACCGGTGGAAAAGATTGAAGGAGACAGGAGATGATGATTGAAGCAAACAGAAGGAGGCGTTTGAAAGTGACAATGATGCTTGAAGGAGACCGGTGGAAACGATTGAAGGAGACAGGAGATGATGATTGAAGCAGACAGAAGGAGGCGATTGAAAGTGACAATAATGATGCTTGAAGGAGACAGGTGGAAACGATTGAAGGAGACAGGAGATGATGATTGAAGCAGACAGAAGGGAGGCGATTGAAAGTGACAATGATGTTTGAAGGAGACAGATGATGATGAAAATAGACAGAAGGAGGCGATTGAAAGGATGCTTTGAAGGAGACACTTGGAAACGATTGAAGGAGACAGGAGATGATGATTGAAGCAGACAGAAGGAGGCGATTGAAAGTGATTGATGCTTGAAGGAGAGGAATCCATTGAAGGAAACGATTGAAGATTGAGACAGATGATGATGCGATTGAAACAGAAGACGATTGAAAGTGACAATGATGCTGAAGGACAGGCTTGGAAACGATTGAAGGAGACAGGAGATGATGATTGAAAAACCTTGAAAAAAAAAGAAGGAGGCGATTGAAAGTGACAATAATGATGCTTGAAGGAGACAGGTTGGAAACGATTGAAGGAGACAGGAGATGATTGAAGAAGCAGACAGAAGGAGGCGATTGAAAGTGACAATGATGCTTGAAGGAGACAGGTGGAAACGATTGAAGGAGACAGGAGATGATGATTGAAGACAGAAGGAGGCGATTGGTGGATAATGATTGAAGGAGACAGGGTGGAAACGATTGAAGGAGACAGGAGAGATGATTGAAGCAGACAGAAGGAGGCGATTGAAAGTGACAATGATGCTTGAAGGAGACAGGTGGAAAACGATTGAAGGAGACAGGAGATGATGATTGAAGCAGACAGAAGGAGGCGATTGAAAGTGACAGATAATGATGCTTGAAGGAGACAGGTGGAAAAAGATTGAAGGAGACAGAGATGATTGAGATGATGATTAAAAGTGATAATGACAGAACGGATGGCGATTGAAGGGACAGGAGATGATGATTGAAGCAGACAGAATGAAAGACAGACAGATGCTAATGATTGAAGGAGACATTGAAAGGAGACAGAAGATTGGGAGACAGGAGATGATTTGAAAGACAGAAGATTTGAAGGAGACAATGATGATGACAGATTGGAAACGATTGAAGGAGAGATGATGATTGAAAACAGAGAAGAAGGCGATTAGGACGATTGAAAGTGACAATGATGCTTGAAGGAGGGCGATTGGAGACAGGCTTGAAGGAAACGGATTGAAGGAGACAGGAGATGATGAAACAGACAGAAGGAGATTGAAAGTGACAATGATGCTTGAAGGAACAGGTGGAAACGATTGAAGGAGACAGATGATGATGATTGAAGCAGACAGAAGGAGGCGATTGATTGATAATGATGCTTGAAGGAGACAGGTGAAACGATTGAAGGACAGATGATGCTTGAAGGAGACAGGTGGAAACGATTGAAGGAGACAGATGATGATGATTGAAGCAGACAGAAGGAGGCGATTGAAAGACAGATAATGATGCTTGAAGGAGACAGGGGAAACGATTGAAGGAGACAGATGATGATGATTGAAGCAGACAGAAGAAGGCGATTGAAAGTGACAATGATGCTTGAAGGAGACAGGTGGAAACGATTGAAGGAGACAGATTATGATGATTGAAGCAGACAGAAGAGGCGATTGAAAGTGACAGATAATGATGCTTGAATGAGACAGGTGGAAACGATTGAAGGAGACAGATGATGATGATTGAAGCAGACAGAAGGAGGCGATTGAAAGTGACAGATAATGATGCTTGAAGGAGACAGGTGGAAACGATTGAAGGAGACAGGAGATGATGATTGAAGCAGACAGAAGGAGGCGATTGAAAGTGACAGATAATGATGCTTGAAGGAGACAGGTGGAAATTGATTGAAGGAAGCAGACAGAGATGAGGCGATTGAAGCAGACAGAAGGAGACAGGTGGAAACGATTGAAGGAGGACAGGATATGATGATTGAAGCAGACAGGGAGGCGATTGAAAGTGACAGATAATGATGCTTGAAATTCAGGTGGAAACGATTGAAGGAGACAGGAGATGATGATTGAAGCAGACAGAAGGAGGCGATTGAAAGGACAATGATGCTTGAAGGAGACAGGTGGAAACGATTGAAGGAGACAGGATGATGATTGAAGCAGAAGGAGGAGGCGATTGAAAGTGACAGATAATGATTCTTGAAGGACGATTGAAGGAGACATATGATGATGATTGAAGCAGACAGAAGGAGGCGATTGAAAGTGACAATGATGCTTGAAGGAGACAGGTGGAAACGATTGAAGGAGACAGGAGATGATGATTGGAGGAGACAGAAGATCACATTTGAAGGAGAGAAATGATGACGATTGAAGGAGAAAGACGACAAATGAAGGCGACAGAAGATGACGATTGACACAGACAGATTATGACTGAAGGAGACAGAAGATGACATACGAAGGAGACAATAGATTACGATTCAAGGATACAGATGACAAATGAAAGTGACAGAAAATGAAGGTATATGTAGACAGAAGGTTACAATTGAAGGCAACAGAAGTTGAATGAAGATGACAGATAATGACTTAAGGAGACCGAAGTCGGCAGATAATAACGATTGAAGGAGACAGAAGGAGACGATTGAAGGCGAGGGGAAAACGACTGAAGAAGACAGATGACTATTGTAGGTGACAGATTATGATTGAAGAAGACAGAAGATAACGATTAAATATAAGCTAATAATGAAAAATTAAAATTTACTTTCCACAAGAAATATCTTTTTCTCAATATAAACCACTTCACTTCAATGCGCATAATACAATGGTGAATATGTAGGTACAACAATAAATCCATTATAGGTTTTGAGGAGTGTGGAAACACATCGTAATTGTTGTTATTCGCAGGTGCCCCACCCTGATAAATATCAACCGTTCTTTTTTATAGTAATATGGCTAGCAATATATTTTTCTACTAAAAAGCAATCAATAGAACGCTAGAAAATTATAAAATACAAGCAATTCATTTTTATAAAATCATTTCCTACAATACAATTTTGTAGTGAAATTACCAACAATACATTTTACGATGTACAAACTAATTTTAATCTATAAAATTATGAACAAAATATTTAGATTTCAGCATTTAAAAAACATAGATTGATATACCGCAAGTAAAATCAACCAACGAAACTTTGATCTTTTACCAAACAACACATCAAGTTTTTACTCATTCATCGTAGTAAGGAAGACCATTATTTTGACTTAAAACACGGAGTTTTAATTAAAACAGAAACGAAAACATATGCAAAGTTGAAAATATATAGAGAGTCCACGACATTTTGAGTCTTCTTTGGTAAATTTACATCCACGTTCATGCAGAATATAGCCTTACTTGACATAACTACTTCAATGTAGAATATTGAAAAAACAACAGCGATAAAAAAAAGAAACATATAAATGTTAGGAAATTGAGTGATGGCGACTAGACTGAGTATCTAGACAAATGAAACATTGGATATTTAAAATTTAAAGTTTCAGATCAGTACACCGAATATGCAGGTGTACGTTCACTACACCTGCATATTCAGTGTTTCTCTTGACATGTATTCACTGTTGCTTATATTTTCGTACTCTCTATCTTCATACATATATAAGCTTCCATCAATAAAATATTTTTAATTCTAAAGAAATTCTTTTGAAAGACGAAACACGTCACATAGAATGTTTTGCAATTTTATCATTCGTTTTGCCTTGGTTTGTTTGTTTAACGGCATATCAAAACCTTATGGGTCATTTAATGTTTAAATTTTATTATCTTTTTTTGGATGCATTAAGCTTATGAAGAAGATGTTTGAAAGAACAAAATTTTTCTGTAGAAGGATGCTAAAAATAGCACAGATTGAACATCTGAGCAACAATAAAGTTTTAGAGAAAATGGAAACTAAAAAACACATACATAACATCACGAAGGGACACATCGGCGTGGTGGAATGGTTCACAAGCTTGTCTTGCTAGAGCAGTTACTACTGAAAAGTGAGTTCGATCCTCACTGGGTGCGCCATACTTTCGGCCACAGCTTAGCTACGCATGGAAAATCGCTACATATAAAGAAGAAACAGTTGAAATTTCAAGGCTAGATAATGAAGAAAGAGGTCTGCAAGTATTTTATCCTCCCAAGAAAGATTGATGACAAGGGAGACAGAGGGAAAAAAATGCATAACCTATCTGGTGAGTATGATCGAATGGATGGCGAAGCAAGTTTTTTTTTTAAGCATTACGCCCCGAGCAAGGCGTGAAGCCACTAGGATGCAGGGGGTTGTAGAAGATTTGGAGCGAGAGCAGATAGGAGTGATAGAAGAAAGGATGAGGAGAAGGATAGTGGGTAGATCAAAGTAACTGGAGATGTCGATTGACATTACATTTGAATAGTTGGAGATTATAGCTCTCAGGGAAACAGTAATTGGGAATGGTGTTCCACAGGCGAGAGGTGCGAGGTATGAAGCTATTGGAGTAGAAGAGACGGGTACATTTAAAAGTTTCTACAGTGTAAGGGTGGGAGCGGGATGCCAGCCTCGTAGGGCGCTTGAATTCATGGAGTCTGGGGACCAGTGAAAGCAGCTCATCGGAGCAATTACCATGAAAGTATTTGTAGAAAAGACAGAGAGAGGCAACGGCGCGTCTGTGAGAGAGTGTCTGTAGACGAGATGCCAGATCAGGGCTAATTATATTACATATCCGTCTCTGGATCTTGTCAAGAACTCCGAGATAAATAGAAGGTGCCCCAGACCATATATGGCAGCAATGCCCCATGCAAGGGCGAATGGTTGATTTGTATATTGGAAGTATCGATTCCGGGGAGAAAAATAAGAAAAAGACAAAATTTATTTGGAGCTACAAAGAACAAGAAATTGTGAAGAGTCATGATCGTCTTGAAAGGACACGGCTCATAAAAGAAGATGTAAAATCTTTGGGGATTTGATATTTTATTTCTAAATATGTATTGCTGGAAATTTTCTTTTTTATGGATAATGTATTCATGGACTTTTGTTATTCTTTTACGATTCAAATGTATTGTTAGAAATGTTTTCTAATGAATGTTTATATTTTCATGTTTAGAATTCAGTTTTGGGATTCACTATTTGCCCAAAGCTGGGAACCTAACAGATGGTACCATTCTCCTGGGAAGAGCAGCAATTAGAACGTGGTTCCACGCTCCTCGAAACTTCCCAATCAGAGACCTTGCTGCCGGATGTAGTTTACCGTCATACCCCGGATGTTGTTGAAAGTAACAAAAGTCAGAAAGCTGTGGAGAGACGTAAAAGCTTAGGTTCTGAAAGAAAACGGCACATAGAAGGAAAGAGATGAGAATAAGAACGAGTTGTTTTTTGTTTTTTTCCAAAAAATTATAGAATTTCAGGATGAATGGGTAGCGTAAGAGTTATCGACGCAAAAAGTGAAACCAGCTTGCCGAGTTCAAATTGGGGGATTAGTTTTGATGCTCACTTGATCCAGTTGTTTTTGCTTCTTGCTTTTGAACTTTGAGAATGCAATATTATTAACTTCTGTAATAACATTTCGTTTCCATTATCAAATTTTGTTAATCTGCCTTTTTAGTCTTCAAGTACTTTGATAGCCGAAACAACACCAATGCGTTCGTTGTCGTCTGCTTTTATCTTTTCACATAAAGTCGAGATAGATCATCTTTAGAATGAACTATTTAAAATCAGGCCATATTTCCTCTTTCTCTAACTCAACATTTAAAATGTATTGGTGCTATTTTTCCGATAAAAAACTATTTTATACATTCATAGTGTTTTGATCACAGTTTGCAGGTTAACTATTTATCTATAGCTGGGACTCTAACAGGTTCTACAACCTCGGATCAGGGTGAACATGGGAACAACAACAATTAAGAGGGGGTTCCACGCTCCTTAAACCCTCCAATATCCCGATCAGAGACCTTGATGTCTAATGTAGTTTATTGTCACACCCAGGACAAATCATTCAGATACCCAGGAAAAGTTACCAATAGTGACAAAGTTATTGGTTGTCAGTGACTTAAACTTTTTTATAATAAATGATAAATCTAAGTTATTTATTTGAATCATTGAGTGATATTTATCATTAACGTCCAGGTTTTGAAAAGTGATAAAATATTAAAATGCATATCAAATCAAAACAATCTATTAGTACATAAGAAAGAAAGAAAGAAAGAAAGAAAGAAAGAAAGAAAGAAAGAAAGATATTCTTTGAGGGTATATAATGAAAAAAGAGAGTGTAGAGAATCTAAAACCCACAGTACATATTGAAGGTAGTATAACATATACTTTAACTATGACAGAAAATATTACTGTATATAAAAAGCAAATTAGCATTCTAGATGAGTACAAAACTGACCAAAATATTGACCAATTATTCTTCCATTTTCTATGACAGAATCATATCTCTGCGGTCTTAACGCTATGTTTCTAAGATCAGTGTTTTTGCACTACCGGTATTTGCATTCAATTATGTCTCTTTCTTCTACGCTTTCTGTCGATTTCATGAGAGAAGAGTGTCCATTTATGCTTTTAATGGCTGTTTTATCTTGTGTATAGCTAATGGTGCATCTGGTTACGGGAGAATAAATTAATAATGGCTCTATATTATTATTCATACCAGCATCTTCGAGTATTTTTTGAAGTTCTTTAACGCTAAATTTATTTGTTATTCGACAACAAAATTACTGTTGGGAAATGTCTGTTTTATGTTGTAACACGAATAATAGGTCACAGATATATATATATATATATATATATATATATATATATATGTGTGTGTGTGTGTGTGTGTGTGTGTGTGTGTGTGTGTGTGTGTGTGTGTGTGCAGTGTTTTGTTCAAATGCACATGAAACCCAGTTTGATATAATTATGAACAAGTATGAACGCGCCCGTTTTTACAAAATAATTCACACCAATCAATTATATATATATATATATATATATATATATATATATATATATATATATATATATATATGATCGCATGACCATTTTCTAGCCGTTAAGAAAGTATCTCTAATACAGTGTGATTAATTCTATCTGAATTATCATTATTAACACTATTGCTATTCGGACTATTGTAATCATCATTGTTGTTGCTATCACGTTTCGGCCGTTGTGCCCTCCGACCTTCCTCGGGTGTGTATCGATGTGGGTAACCTACAAGGAATTCTGAACTGAACTCTTTATTAAATATATGCTATTAGACTGTTCTTGTTCCACTGTCCATGTCTAGGAATATTGTCTAGTTTTTATTTAGATAGTTCTCGCCCGTATCCACAAGTGCATAATGCCGACCCAGGAATTAAACTCACACCGATTATGCCACCAAATTCACAAACGAATCCCCTAGGATTAGTCCTGTACGTCAAATCTCTGTAGTGAGTATGGATCCTTGAAAATAACCTAGAAATAAT